ACTACAAATTCCTATAGCGCCGTAAATATAGCTCTAAAAATTTTTTTCTTCATAGTAAAATCGTTTTATGACATCCTTTTTCCATCTAAGCTGTTTAAAAAAAATGTTTTTTTTTTCATTTGAATGAGTCCTTTAACATGTAATACTCTAAACTCTTCAATAAAGTTCCTAATTAGCCTCGACCCTGCCATGCCTCACAAGTCAAATAGGATCAAATAAACCTGTAATCAATAATTGCACAGTCGCGGATGGCTATATTTTTTGTTCTAAACGCCTGGATTTTGGCAAGCGCTTCAAAAATCAGCCGTCGGAGAGCGCGATGCGCCTCGGGAGATCTGGCCGAGCGGGCGCGGTCTTGACGTCACCATGCCTCGGAGGGCCAAGCCTATCGCAAGTTTTTCGTACGCTACGATGAAATCTTGCGTTTTATGAACAAATCTACATCGCCAACAAATTCGCTCGCTTACGTCGTCGCGACGACCAACGTGCATTTCTATGTGCTCCCTGTACGCGTCCCAACGAAAGAAAAGAAAAAAAAACGCAGTGTCTAGCGTTATGTCCGAGTTCCGTTCGGCGTAACCCAATGTGAAAATTAAAGTTACGTCCGACAGAACTCTAAATAAAAACGCCTGACGGAAATGAAAATGAAAGTTACGTCTGACACAAATAAAAGCTAAAGTGCGTCCTGTCTAACCTTTGCAACCTTCTTGAATGTTACGCTTTACGGCCAATACATGACGTAAACACAAACATATAGTTAATTATTACTACGTTACGTTCGATGCAGCATTTGTTTATTGGTTAAAATCGCGACTCCATCAGTACATTATTATTTTTTTTCTTTCTCGTATTTTATTTTTCAGGCCATTTTTTTTTTAAGACGATTTCTTGCGACACTTTCTGAGAATCACGGACGTTCAAAGCAATTATTAAGAGAGCTAGAATGGCAATATGATACGAACGTGCTGTTTACAGCAGCAGTTTCCGGCAGACTTGTACTGTACTTGTACTGGCACAATTTTCACGTACCACTCAAGTCACCAAGCGCACTAGCTTTGGCAGTGTTTTCTTCCAGTGTATTAAATAAAGAGCTGTTTCGAAGGGGCCGCCCGGGTGTGAGAATGATAGACCCTCGGCCTTTAGCCATATCAATTATGCACTCAGCCCGAGCCAGCGAGGGATACAAGCAGGTGTAAAAAACATGGCAAGGATAACAAGAAATGTATGTGACAGGTATCGGACCTGCCCAGCTTCGGCAGCCTCTAAACAGTTTTTTATTTAGTACACTCTGGAAGAAAACACTGCCAAAGATAGTGTGCTTGGTGACTTGAGTGTTATGTGAAGATTGTGCCAGTTTTCAACAAGTCTGCCGGAAACCCTGCTGCTTTAAACAACACACTCCAGCCCTCTCAACAAAGCTGAAGGGACGACTAGAGTTGAGATTTTAACCGATTCACGAATGCTGCATTGGATGTAGCGCAGTAATAATTCAGGATATTTTTGTATTTGTGTGTCGGCCGTAAAGCGGAACTTACGCGTAAGTTGCATAGGTACAGGACGTAACTTTACTCTTTATTCCGAATTCGGTCGGACGTAACTTTAATTTTCATATTGGGTCACGTCGGACGTAACTTTAATTTTCGTATTGGGTTACGTCGGACGTAACTCGAAACGTTGGGATAAAGTTACGTTGGATGTAATTTTAATTTGTATTTCGGGTTCCGTCGGACGTAACGCTAGACACTGGGTTTTACGGAATGGTACTTGAAGCTGAACGCCGCGGCGGAGACAAACCCTAGAACCACAGATACCAGAAAAAGCTACAACGGCAATTATCTCACCGACCAAGTGACCACCAGACTATTTAGGAGCGCTAGAGCAAAACACGTCGACGACCCAGGACAAGACCATTTGCACACGACCGGCTGGCTTGATGAATGAAATACGCCCACATGACCTTTGTAGACCCTTCTTGTATGAATAGCTTCAACCCTGACCTCTATTTTGGGGTAAGAAGACCAGTCTTTCCCCTCGTCGTACCTAGCTTGTTTTCAAAGCAGCGGTGACGAACGCTCTCGTCGAAAAGGGACACTCCTCAATTCAATCTCCTTTTTTGTGTTATAGAGCTCAAGCTGAAGATAAAAAAATATTTTCCTTTTGCTCAGCCAGCTAATAAACCTAATAGATTCAGCTATTATGAAACACAGGGCACTATGAAACTATAACAGATATGAAGTCGTTAGGGGTGCATGAAAGGGAGTCATGGTGCCAGGACTGTCATTCAGGAATGCGGTATTGTGTAAGAGATCAGAAATCCAGGCAGGTTTAGAGATACAGCAAAGGAGTGTGGGTAGGTTGGCGTTGGGGGCACATGGGAATACACCAAATGAGGGAGTACAGGGGGATATGGGTTGGGCATCTTTCAAGAGTAGAGAAGTGATCAGTAAAGTAAAATTTGGACAAAGACTAGCTCAAATTGAGGATGCACGGTGGGCAGCGAAAGTGTACAAGTACTATCTACAGGGTGAAACAAAAAGACGCCAGGCTCTTTAAATCGACCGGAAAATTTGGTTTCTTAACCTATCGCGCTACGACTTTGTGCAGCGTTGCCCACAGATGGTGCATTTTTTTTGTAAAATTTGCCAAGAGCGAACTTACCTGAGGAAAAAGTAAAGAAAGAAAAAGGCTTAGCTCCTATGGAAACGCAGCGACGCCACCGGTCTGCAAACAACACGGCGCCATTTTGCACGGGAGACAAGAGATGGTGCAACAAACGCCGCCAACGAATGAGCATACGGCACCGAGAGGAGGCCTTTTTAGCAGACAATTTTTTCGACTCAAAAGCGGCGCGTGTGCCGCAGACGGCGCGCGATAACAGCAAGAAACTGCAGTTCCTTGTCTGCAAAAGGGCCGGCTCTCGGCGTTGTCTGCTCGTTCGTTGGCGGCAGTTGGCGTCGCGACCGCTTGCGCCACCTCTTGTCTCCCGTGCGAAACGGTGTCGTGTTGTTTAAAGACCGGTGGCGTCGCTGCGTTTCCATAGGAGCTAAGCCTTTTTCTTTCTTTACTTTTTCCTCAGGTAAGTTCGCTCTTCGCAAATTTTACAAAAAAAAAATGCACCATCTGTGGGCAACGCTGCACAAAGTTGTAGCGCGATAGGTTAAGAAACTGAATTTTCCGGTCGATTTAAAGAGCCTGGCGTCTCCTTGTTTCACCCTGTATATGTGAAAAGTCTGAACACAAAGCGGACAAACCAAACCCGCAAGCTGAGATCTAAATACATTCAACGAGATGGGGCTGATCAGAGTATATCAGTAGAAAAGGGAGTAAAGGAAACAGAGAGGAAGTTGTGGGAAGAGAGAATGCAGGGGAAATCCGCTTTAACAATATACAGGGCACAAAAATGAGAAATAAAGAAGGAACAGTTGTATGATAATTCATTGGGGAACTCATTACTGTTTGAAGCTAGACGGGGGTGCTACGAACGAAAACGTATAGGGCTAAATTCCAGAAAGTAGACACTCTGTGCGACGTTTGCAACCGTGAAAGGGAAACTATGGAACATGTAATTTTAAAGGGCACGGGGCTTCGTCCCACCCTCTTGGGGGTTGACTACGGATTTGGAGGGGGTACTGGGATTTGCAGACACGGATGGACGAATGGATAGGGAAAGAATTGCGGTAACTAAAAGGAGATTGGAAGATTGGTGGAAAAGATATAGGGAGGGGTAAAAATTAAATACAGATAAAAATAGGCAACAGAATTACTTTAAACAGGGGGAGGGGGGTTGTGCTATACCAACATTTATACAAATTAAAAAAAGAAAAAAAAGAATGGATGACAAAATGTTAGGCTAGGTGGCACAAGCTGCTGGCCGCCTGCAGAGCCGTATATGGGGAGAGTTTGGTCAGTCTATGATCTCGCCGCCGTAACACGCTCCTCCCAAGTGAGCCAATCGGCGCGCGGCGTAGAGCGAGGGGCATGAGCGCATGCGCGTGAACTCCCGGCTGCTCCCACCTGAGTGGGGAGGGCCGCCATCTTCGATCATTCTCCCGGCGGAATGCGTGGGATCGGCATCTAAATCTCGATTATTGCCTTTTATATCGCCGGCTCTGGCAAGAAAACGACATTCTGTTATTCCTCGGTGGGTTAAAAAGCTAATAAATGAAGATTTTTCGGCGTATGGCCACAAACTTTTATTCAGGCGAAAAAGAAGTTGGCCCGTAGCAGACGACGCGTAGCCTCAGCAGAGCCCTTCTCCGACCAGTCTCCGACAGCGTTGCTAAACAATGGCGGTCGTCTCGTCTCTGCTCCCTTCTTTCTCTCTCGCTCCTTCGGCGCTCTCCTCCCTTTCATTTACTTTTCTCCTCTCCGGCGCCTTCGTCGCCACACCCACTGGCCAAACTCTCCCAATATACGGCTCTGGCCACCTGTTACAAAGGGTATAGCCACTACCATCCATCCATCCATTTGAAAGAGAAGTTTATTTATATAATTTTTTATGCAGTTCCCCATAAAATGTGCACGAATCAAACCAGTCGGCTTCAAATGTCCTACGCATAACCAGACACTGTTGTTATTTTTTTAGTTATAGTTCATCATTTACAGCACCAATTAAAATGCACTTAAAGACTATGATATTTTGCAAGCAGTTGCTTTAGTTATTTTCGTGCTGACCCAAACTTGGGTTCAATGGCCAATCGTTAATGGCCTATTGCTGTTGACTTATCGTTACTGTCTTACTGTTACTGGCTTATCACTATTGGCCTGTTGCTACTGGCCCATTGCTACTGGCCTATTGCTATTGGCCTATTGCTAGTGACATAGCATTAAAAGCCTATCAGTGTTAGCTCATCACTAATGGCCTATCACTATTGATCTATCGCTGCAGGCATAATGCTAATGGCTATTGCTGCTGGCCTGACACCAGTGGTATACTATCACTTTTGGCCTACCGCTACTGGTATATTGTTACCTTGCCCCACAGTTCCAACAGCACTCACCGATGCAGACGCTGTGGCGGCAGACGAATCCGGCCGGGCAGGGCTCGTCGGTGCTACACTCGGTGGTGACCACCTCGGTGGAGGGCGTCGTGCAGCGTACTTTGGGGTCGCCGATCTTGTCTCGGGGACATGTGCACGTGGCCCGGTGGTCGTGGGGGCGGCACAGGGCGTTGACCCCGCAGCTGCCCCGCAGGGAGCACGGGTTGCGGCAACTGCCCTCAGCGCACGCCTTGTCGTATGGGCAGTGTTCGTCCACCCTGCAGCCCACTGGACAACCGAAGACGACAATGTTACAAGGATCGACGTGTTTGCCGACAGGAGAGGGCAAACAAAATATTGGAGTTCAAAAAGGGAAGAGAAATAAAAACCACGAGGAATGTGCGTCGAAGTAGGAAACAATGTGGTGCAGCCATCGGTCTTTCGGATTTTCTAATCGTTACCTTCCGAAATTCTTTCCGGTTGGACCAAAACTTCACTTTCTCAATGAGACACAGTTCATCTAAAGGTGTGGGAATTTAGGGAGCCCCCAGCATCTGTTCTATATCTGCCTCAGCTTTTCGCACATTTATGTATGTGTCGAATTCACTACAGTAATTTGTATGAGGTGCATTCATGTTTGAGCCCACACATTCAGAGAATTACCATTGCAGTTCAAACAAGGTGCATTCACGTTTTAGCTTATACATCCAGCGAGACTTTTTCCAACAGCACGCGGAAAATAAAGTATAGTGTTCCAGCTTCATGAACACTTGTGGAACCTGTTGGCTCTTTTAAAGTTGGGGACACCTGCTTGTAGATCTCGCGACATTGCGGAAAAAAGGTTTCCAAGATGTAGTGCAAGGCATGAGGACATAAGAAAGAATAAGGGAAGACCACCACAATCGTGGTAAGGCATAGAAGTTTACATAGTAGTTTTGCCTAGCTTCTCTAGTCTTTATTATTTTGAAGCTAAAAAGGCCCATTTCCTTTCCTCGCCATCAAAAGTTCCTCATTTCAATAACGGCAGAGGAAGCCTACGTACCGATGCAGCGGCTGCTGATGCAGATCTTCTCCAGTCCACAGTCAGAATCGGTGTGGCATTCCACCGAAACTGTGGAGATTAGAAAGGCTCAATATCAGGAATGTTGAGAGCTGAGCCAAGTGAAACAGCAGCTGGATGACAAGTTTATCAATAAAGAGAGAGTGGGTGCCTTCTTTGAAGCAAGCCATCATCTCTATGGTCTGGTAAAAAAAACAGGCTAATCACTGAACAAGCAAAGTAAGACAGACTGTCTCGCCAAAAAAAAAAGTGAACAGTAGTAATATGAATAAAAAAAAGTCAGGGCTCGACAGTTCGCATTAATACTATCTATGTATTAGTACTATCTATGTTTTTTGGGAGACTTATAGACCCCTTACAAAGTACACTTGTGCAGCCCAGTATCAAAAACCAAATGAAATGTTGCCTCTGTGTCACTTGCATATCCTAGCAATGCTATCTGTCATCTTTCAAGAGCGCTTCCATCAGGCAGATACAAAAAATCCGATAAAACACAATGAAATAAGCCAGTCCTGCCAACCTGATGGCTTTGTAAGCAGAACTTCCAAAAAGGCAGTTTGTGGTGTGCACTTTCCTATAAATCACAGAGCATCCCAAGGACAGTCTTGAAATTTCGTGCCAAAGCTAGCAATTCCTTGTTGACGCATGAGGAGGGCTAAAGAAGAAACTCCCTCACCTTCTCGGCAGTGAACCTTGGGGTCTCCCTGGAAGTTGGGAGGGCAGCGGCACTCGGCAGTGTGGCTGATGGCCTGGCAGTGTGCGTTGGCCCCGCAGACGCCTGAGCGGCAGGGGTCCTGGCAGATGCGGTCGTGGCACTCCAGGAAGAAGTCGCAGTCGCTGTGTGTGCGGCACCCAGCTGCGTACCAACGTGGCAGGTGAGAAAGTGGCCGGGTAGGCCCATCATGCTTCCAGCGGGCACAAGCTACTTGAGATGTGCTGCCCTTTCCTAGCTGCCTGCCACAGAGTTGCATTGGAGAATGGGTTTTTGACAGCTTATGCATTTTCTTATTTGTTAGTAAGAGGAAACTTGCACAACGTTGATTTGGTACCCACAACCCAACAGACAAAAATTTGTGCAAAAGAAAAAGGGTGCTTGGCAATGTTAAGGTGTTTAGATATAAAAATTTTAAGAAAACTAAACAATGAAAGACGTTAACAATTCTCTGTAATGCAGGATTAGAGCGCAGCTCTTGAGGAGGAGGAGGGGAGGGTATGCCCCTCCTCCCCTCCCCATCCCCTCCCCTCCACCTCTCCTGCTCCCCTCCCATTTAGCGGGGAAATTTTTCCGTTAAATTTAGCAGGAAATTTTTTGCATGAAATTTAGAAGAAAAATTTTTCCGCTAAAATTAGCGAGAAATTTTTTTCGCTAAATTTAGCAGAAAATTTTTCCCACTAAATTTAGAGAAAAATTTTTTATCTAAATTTAGCAGGGAAATTTTCCAATAATGCAACGCGCGCGGTTACGCCAACGTTGAAGGAGACGGCAACGCTGCTCAAGCCGAAAACAAACGCCTAAAAGCTGAAAAAAAAGAATTGAAAATGGCCTTTTTTTTTTCTTTCATTGTTCCATGTTCCAATCCTTCTTTTATAGATTATTTCAGAAATAAAGCTTGCATTAAAACAAATTATTAAAAAAAACGGGGCTTAATTTCAGGAAAAATAAAAAATAACATCTAGTGTTTTGAGGTTGCTTGTGGGAAGAGGGACACTGTAAGACTATTCCTTCAGTATCTCTTTTTCCTTCTGCCATAAAATGCTCCTATCAGGAAACAAAAACCAGAAAAAAGTGTCCGGAAGTTTTAGTGGGTTTCAATGCACCTTGGAAAAACAACATTTTCAAACAAGGGTTTTAAATATTGTGGGAGGCTGTTAGAGTCAGTCAACTTAGTGTTCCTGAAAGGCACACCTATAAATGGGGTAAGCAAAGAAATATCCTTACCAATACATCTGGTGTTGTCACAAATCTCCCCCCGGTTGCAATCGTTGTCAGAGGCACAGAAGTCGCCCGCTGAAGCAAAACGTGGTAAAAAGCACGACATGAAGCAACAATCCTCTAGGCTCTTGACTTTTTAAAAGCAAACGTAAAAAGGCAAACCAAACTTACGTGTGCATTGGCCATGAACACATATGTATCCAGGCAAACACTCTTCGTTCGCAACACAGTCTGGGTCTGAAAGTCGAACGAGTTAAGTACATTCTCAAGAAAGCATACCTCGCTTTACAACAAAATAAACCTCACCATGTGCGCTCAGTGAGTTTGCATGCATTTAGTATCCTTCGTTTACCCCTCTGTAATTTTAATCGTCCAAAACCCTCCCCTCCTTCCTGGTAGGTGGTATCCCCCATCACTTCGGTCGTTCGAAAAGGGATCCCCGAAACATGTAATTAGAACCACTTGTATAGACAAACAAAATGCGTACAAACTGTGGAACACTGAACGGCTTCGAGCAACCGGATTGAGGGCGTGTCTGCGTCTGCCACTCACTCTTCTTGCACTCAAACTGCGGGTTCCCGTTGAAGCCGGCGGGGCAGAAGCAGTGCGGGCGGTGGTGCTCTGGCGTGCAGTCGGCGTGAACCCCACAGGCACCGCGGATGGTGCACGGGTTCTTGCACTGGCCCTGGTAACAACCCTGGTTGATGGGGCAGTTCTGGTCTCCACGACAACCATCTAAAGGAAACACGATAGGAGGAGACATCAAAAACAATAATCTAAGCTCGTGAGCACTGTCAACAATGAGCGAAGGCGTGGCTACGATTAAAAGTCAATCCCAGGTAATGGGACTGTAGCTAAAACTATGTTTAGTACCGGTATAATTCTCAGAACTCTGTATTAGTATAGTTAGGTAAAACACACCCATTAATAACCAGTTACAGATACCCATCATACTTTGAAGTTTTGTTTAATTGAAGTAGCAATAATAATGGCTCTGACAAACAAAACAAAAAACAAGCCACGCTTACCAAAGCAACGGTTTGTTTCGCAGACTTTGCCGAGGGAACATTGATCGTCAGTTGTGCACTCCACTTTAGCTGTGGAGAAAACAGAAAAACATGAAAGGGTCATCGTGCCAAGAGTGAGGTATCAGACACATGAACTGTGTACAAATGATGCTCAAAAAGTAGAAAATGACAATTAAATGTTTCTTCCTTACTTATGCAGCGTCCATTGTCACATGACCTTTCAGAACCGCAGTCAAGTTCCCTGCTGCAGATATCAGGATCTGTAAGCAATATTTGAGGCAAGAGAAAATAGCTTGTGAAGCTAGTATATAGAAGAGAAGGTGCCAATGGGCATTAGGAGTATAACCGAAAAGACAGCATACCTAGGTTAGCTAGGCTTTCTTACCTTAAAACATTTATCCAAACCTTTTACAATAGTGTATGGTGCACAAGCACATACAGAGTACTAAAAGCATGCTGTGCAGGTTTGGTCATATTGCTGAATGGTGATTATAAAATAATGAAAGAAACCCCATCAATGTTGCAATAACAGTTAATCCAAGAGTGTCCACTGTGGCAGATGAATATAGATGACCCCACAGGATTGCCTCTCCCAGCACCCAATAAAAGGGGGCTCTCGTTCACAGAGACCAGGTGGAGCAAGGGTCACTCACCCCTGAGGCACTCGGAGTAAGGGTCACCCAATGTCTGTGGTGGACACGTGCAGGTCAGCCGGTGGTCGAGCGTTTTGCAGTCGGCGTTCAGGCCGCAGGCCCCAACAAACTGACAAGGGTTCTGGCACTGACGACTGATGCACGACTTGTCGTCTGGGCAGCTGGCGTCCGAGCGACATCCCTCTGCAATCACAATTATGAGCAAGACAAGTCAAACACCTACGGTACACGAACAAATGTATGCCAAGTAATAAAAAGCACTACAGCTACTGTAATGAGTTAGGAGTTAGGGAATATTTGATCCAGACACCCTTTGTTGATCACTGGCTCACTGCGTTCTATGGTGCTTCTAAATGCAACTCCAATAGCAAGCCTTCCGACTGCCACCCCTCCGTTTTATGCTCCAATCGTCAGGCTGCCAATTTTTGCTGCACACCTTAGTAAGCATGACCTTTCAATTTCTCCACTTTATAATTTTGTCATTGAATTGCACCACCTTATCTGGAGTACCAAATCATTATTTCACACATACGATACAAGCCGTGTGATAATGTAAAGCCCAATGCCCTAACTCTGGATAGTGGCCTAGAATATAGTCTCGAATGTCCACATAAAATGTCTACGATTTTTTTCCTCTCAAAAATGAAACCAGGCTGCATGAGAATTGTAGAGAACTGTTCTGGCAAACAACTCCAGAAAGTGGAGCTTTACACGCAACTTTCACGCTCTGTTAACGGAAGGACTTTCCCTTTCACTAGACTGCGTGCTAGGTCTTCCACTGTTTGCCAACAAGTAGGTAGTACCGATCACGCACCTATGCACCGGTAGTTCTGGCAGATCTTTCCCACCCCGCAGTCCGAGTCTATGACGCACTCCACCTTGGAGCACTCCACGTGGGGGTCTCCCGTGTAGCCGGAGCGGCACGAGCAGTAGGCGCGGTGGTTCACCGGCTGGCACTGGGCGTTGGGTCCGCAGGCGGTCGGGCTGGCACACGGGTCTGAAACAGGTTCCCGGGCTAAGAGACAGGTGCGCGAGAAGGAATGACAGATCGTGCGGAGCTTTTACGAGCGAGACAGCATATTAAAGTGAAAACCTTTTCGCCCTGCAGTGGGAACCATAGGTCCCATTGCAGCCTGACAACTTAACTAAGCGCCTCAGTCAAAAGCAAAAATTATTTTATGAGCCTCAGTGTTTCTAAAATAAAAGAGATTACAAAATTGAAGCGCTATTTAGCAGCATTTATTTTCTTCTCTAATGGCCCTCACAATGTGCACTCCTATTCCCTTAGTACTTGCACTGTCATCGAAAGAGGGTGCTGCCATTTACCGTGTTAAAGAGTAAAGTACTAAGTTGTGACAAATAAATAATCCTCAATAAGGGTTTATGCCTTATTCGAAGAATTTTTCGGAAAATCTGTAAAGAATTTGTAAAAGAAAATTAAAAATAGTATATGTAAGACAAAGACTGATTCATGTGCAAAAACTTCAAGCTGATGCAGCTGGCTTAAAAAAAAAAAAAAAGAAAAGGAATTCAATGCAAGCATAATATGAGTGCACAGAGTTCAAAACAAAAAACCCAACTCATCTTTAAAGACACACAACCGAATGACATCAAACAACGTATGTGCCAGACACAAAGAGAGCTCGGCTACTTACTGATACACTGACGGTTGATGCAGGTGTCAGTAGAGGGACAGTCAAGGTCTGACCGGCAACCCGCTGCATTGGGAAAGTAAGTTCTCCATAAGCCACATTCACAGCACAGAGAGTCCATGTGAAAAAGAAATTTAACAATGCTTACGCAGACACAGTCCTCTCTCGCAGATGTGATTTCTTGGGCAGAGAGCATCCGTGGTACAAATCACTGTGAAGTACAAATGAAATGAAATTAATTTCAATTCCCACCACCTTTCACAGAATAAAAGTTAAAAAAAACGAGGCACTCACAGCTACACCTCTCCTCGACGCACCGCTCGTTGTTGTAGCATTCATTGTCACTACTACATGCAACTAAAATAAAAAGATACAGAACGATTTTAGGAGTTTAGCTTGAAGTACAATAAAGGTGCAAACTTCTCCAAATTTATACCGATAGACGCACCTCTGCAAATGGTGGCTTCGCAGTGGCCTCCGAGGCCACACTCGTCATTTGCATGGCAATCCTTTGATTCTGAAAACCACAAATTCAATAAACATTAAACATTACTTTGCTAAATACATAGGATATAAAATCTTTACCTGATTATTGAGACCTTTCAGTCTGATATATCATAAAAAGCAGCAGACAAAACTCAGCATAAAGTAATGCCAAAGCTAAAATATTGAAAAAGGTAGAACCAGTTCAATTTGGATGCATACTGAATGCCAATACCCTAGCAATGTTAGTGTCAGCATTTGATTGCCCTAACTCCTGCAAGTTATCAAAACCATTTTCTTTTTGGCTCATAATGCATCACAAGCATTATACAGTACACTTGCGATAATTCAAACTCGAATATTTCATACTGCTGATTAATTCAAACAAATTTCGAAATTTTGTTTGTCCTGCTATGTTTTTAATGTATTCATAAGCTGCTTAATTTGAACGGCACTTTCGTGTAATTCACACTTTTTGTTCTGGTGGCCCCATTTAAGTGCGCTTCTCACGGATCACAGGTGCTTGGTGGGAAGCGCACTCAACTATGCTCAAGCAGGGTAAACATGAGCTATGAAAACGGGCACCACGCAGAAAATTCCAAGGCAACTTGCGCGGACACTGTGAAGCGGCAGCATGGCTTAGGTCCATGTCACAGCGTTCACGCAAGTTATTATAAAAACTGCCGCGTGGTGCCTGTTTTCATTGCTCATGTGTCCCCTTCTTAATAGTCCACATTAGACAACTTGGCCTGATGAACTAACTTAATTTTGTTTTAAGTTGTCACATGCTGCCGTAAGCAGTCCACAATAAACAACATTTTTTATAGATAAATAAACTTACGTCATAAATTTAACAAATGTTTTATGTGTGGCATACCTGCTTACGATCAGTAGGCCTATGTAGAGAAAATCATCAAATATCTGCTTTGTATCTGTAGCCATTCATAAGGCAAATCATTTTATCCTGCATCATATTTAGATGAATTTATTACCAAATTTGCGGCTTCCTGGAGTTTGAATTAATGTGAGTCTACTTTATTACCTTTAATATAATAAATTTTTAATAGGCATTTTTATGGACCAGGTTGTCACATATGATACCTCACAAATCACCTTGTAATGCTGAATCCTTTAGTGGAGTCCTATAAAATTGGGTATTATTTACCCTGCAATTATTGTTTAATGTGAGCAAACAGTTAAAATTGGACCCTTCTAGACCATGTTCCAGCTAAACTAGTAACATGCACCAAAGTAAACTTTTGAAGGAACAAGTGCAGAAAACCTCCTCCCACCTCTAACACATTCCAAGTGTGCATCTCCAATGAGTCCTGGAGGACACGTGCAAATTTCCCTGTGGTTGCGCACTGAACAGATGGCATTGGTTCCACAGGCAGTGGGGCTCGCACAGGGGTCTGCGATGACAAAAAGTGTGCATCTGAGATTAGCTGCACTTGAATACCAACACAGAAAATAAAAATCAAATGAAAGACAGGAGAGCAACCTACCGAGGCAATGGTTCTTGATGCATGATTGGTCGGCCGGACAGTCCGTGTCGGCACGGCAGCCAACTGGATCATAAATTGAGAGAGTGCTTAACTCGTAAATTCTGTTCCAACCCAGGCTTCAAGCACAGAACCCATACAGTAGTACTTGACAAGTTAGTAGATGGGTGTTACTATAGTTGCATTTCAGCACTTATGCAGTAACGGGAGTTTGCTGCAGATACTTGTCCAGATGGAAGCTCGAATGACTCAAGTTAAAGGGTCAAAAACAAGTCGTCCGCATGCCGGTTCAAGCAGCTCACCCTTGCAGAAGTTGTGCTCGCAGATCTCCCAGTCGAAGCATTCACGGTCCCTGTGGCACTGCACGTGGCACCTGCTCTCCACGCAGCGCTCATTCAGCGCACAGTCTTGGTTGCTGCTGCAGCTCACTACAGAGAGGCACACAACGTCGGTGCTCAGACACCATTGGCAACGCGATACCGGCTCTCAGCCGGGGCTACCAAACCTGGAGCGAGTCTCCGACCAGCGTGTCTAATGCGCCCCCAAAAGTGGTCGCTCAATTTCCCCCCGCCGACGTCGTATAAGTGTCGCTCTGGCACGGCAGCCGAGGCGGGCGCGACAGACGCCTGTTCTATCATGGGTCGCTCTGCGGCCAGACGGTCAACGAACACCTATACAGACGCGAGACGGGACACTGCAACGACGAAGACCGTCGCACCTTCTTGCATTTTTCGCCGGAATTTCTGCGACCGAACGCCAGGTTCGCGACATCCGACGGCTATGACGCGCCGGTTTTTGCGACGCAATCTGTTGTCACTTCGGAATACTTTCGACGCACGGGTGGGATAGTACGGAAAGCACACCGATCGAAGACCCGTTCCAGGCAGCGTAGCCAGGGCAAAGGAGAGAGATGGGGTACCTCTGCAGTAGCCCAGGTAGCAGATGTGTCCGGGGATGCACTCGTTGTTCTGGGTGCAGCGTACGGGCTTGCGAACGCACGCGACGTTGGCGTGAGGGCGTCCCACGAAGGTCGCCGGGCAGGAACACACCACGCGATGGTTCACCACCTTGCACTCGGCATTTGGACCACAGGTGGCGCTACCTTCGCAGGGATCTGTTTGCGAGGAGTGCGATGCGGGACTGAGCTGGTAAAACATTGTGGGAGGATAAAAATAGCATCCAATATTTTTTTCTCCCCCTTTCATACAACTATGCTCGAAGCAATAAAGCCAATCCAGATGTTCGGGTTCTAATCATAGGTGGTCACGGAGCAGCTCGGAGAGTTTGTGGAATTTGGTCTCCACTAAGTTTTAAAGCAAGTCAGATGTCCCATGGTGTCAATGTGTTGAGTGTAGCTGTAATAAAAATTAGTTGCGAATCTCTTAACTGATGCACAAACGAGTGTCTACTGCATGAGCATACGTATACTTCAACTGTTAATTACTGCAATAAAATCTTTAGCAGCTTCCAGTTTTGCTCAATTTTAGACAGTTCTTTCTTATTCTATGGACTTTTAGAGAAGTTCATTATATCCCTGCTATACAAGAAGACCCCTTCCCCAATTTCATCGACAAATTTTTTGAAGAAAAAGAAAGATAGGTAAATAAAGAAGGTGCCTTAAATGAAACACAGTATGCCGCTTGGTATGAAGTCGAGATGTACAGCAAATTCTGCTTCTCCATCCTTAAAGAGGAGTACATTAGGAATTCCCACCTCTGCACTGATTGCTGACGCAGGCAAGATGGTCCAAGCACTGTTCATTGGTCCGGCATCCAACTGAAAAACGCATTAGCCGTCAGAGGTCCAGCTCTTGAAAACAAAAAGGTTTTCTTTTCTAGAACTCAATGAAAATCCGAGAACAACTCCTTACCTTGACATTTATTTGAGATGCATACCTCTCCATCATGACACTCATTATCCGTTCGACAGAGCGCTGGAGAGAGAATACAAAGGCATTTTTTGTCTTAATGTTTGAACTCCTGAGCAAGCAAGGCATAGAAGGTAAACAGCTGAAAACAGCCCTTACCATAGCAGTTCTGGTTGAAGCAACGCTCTCCATATGCGCAGTCACCGTCGGTAGAACACTCCACTAAATTGCAAAAACAAAACTTAGACTTGAAGCCCTACTACAAGATTAGGTCAAAAGCAAGGGCGACTTCAAGTGAGTGAATTGACAAACGGTAGAAAGAGCTACCATAATTCACAAGGAGCCTTACCTCTGCATCTTGTCTCAATGCAGGCATAGTTGTAGCCTCCACAATCTGATGTAGTTCGGCACGACGATGTAACTGCAAAAAAAAACACTTCCAGTTTAACTGAAATGCTTTTAGAAATAAAAACTGTTTTCGCTTTGTCAAAAACAAAAACAAAATTTCTAGTTTTAATAATTATATATTGTATTTAGCCATTATACACAACTACCTTTGCTTATGAAACAAGAATTTTCAGTGATGACATGGTTTTTCAGTTTGAAGCTCTATTAACTATGCTGGTTACATTTATTTATTTATTCAGTTTATTTTGCGATGCATAAGGGTTATTACTGCAGGAGAGAGATACAAGTACTGTACATTTCTTTTTTTGCATAAATTAAATTCTGCACATGCACACAATCAGACTCCACTACCAGGAAAAGATAAATACTAGTATGATATTCCATAGCATGAGAAAACATGCATTAACCACAATTACGATGCTGTTCATCACAAAAATGTCTTACCCCTTTGGCAGGAGGTGTGTGGATTTCCGGAGAACCCGTGGGGGCAAAGACATTCAGTCCTGTGACTGATCACCTGACACTCTGCATTAGTACCACATGCTGTGGGACTGTCGCAGGGATCTGGAAAGAAGGAAATGAAAGGTGTTACCAGAATTGACAATCCAACAACGAAAATTGCTTACGCACGTTAATTCCTAAAAAAAAAACGTTCAGCCTTTCCACTCTCGTGAAGAAGGAAGACCAGCGGAGCTGTACTCGATACACTGTGTGCTTCTTCTTCGTCGTTGTTTGTTTCTCGCATCGTTTCCTACGATGAATTCCCACCAATGCGCTTAAGTATCCATTCTTCTATTATAGCTGGAGCCTGGAAAGGTTGGCGCCATCTACGAGCGACGGCAGAAACCACACTGGTTGTGTGCTTGCCGCCGTCGCTTATAGATGGCGGTAGCTGTCCAGGTAGGTTTGTGTCGATATACCAGACACGATCCTGGGGAACCTAGCCCTTAACAGCTCCGCTGTAAAAATCTTGTGTTTGTATCAATCAACATTAAAATCTACAAAACATCCCTACTAGTACTATATGTTTAAAAAAAAAAAAAGTCAACAAAGAGGGTTGAAACTTAAAGGAGAAGCTGCTCAAGTTAGCTAAAAATTCACAAAGGCTGATTAAATCGTTGTTGCCTAAAAGTAATAACTCATACTTACCAACCAAAAGAATGCTTGCATAAATATTAAAGAAAGCTGCATTTAGTTAATCAATAGTTGCTACAAATATACACACGAGAAAAATGGGGAATCATGCTCACTTTTGCAGCTGTTCAGGACACAAGCTTCATTATAACGGCAGTCTTCGTCTTTACGGCAGCCGACTGAAAATGTGCAACAACTTTTAGTAGAGATACATGAAAATGACAAATCTATGAAGACCCAAAATATGGAGGATAAATTTCTAAAAAATTGCAGAAGAAGCGAATGTACCGATGCAATTCCTGTCCAAGCAGATCTCTTTTTCGAGGCAGTCTTTGTCCTGCAAGCAGCCTTGGATGCAGTGGCCTTCCACGCAGAGCTCACGAGCAGCACACTCGTCTCGCGTGGCACAGGGAGCTGGGAAAACACAAACAAGCAAAGTATAAACAAGCCATCTCTACAACCGACAAATGACATTAGAACAATCAGAAATATGCCCACAAGCACATAAACTGGTAACCAAGTTACGCAATCACTCTTGCAAAAAAAGCCATCTCCAGAGCAATCAGCGAGCACTTATAACATGCACTGCATCGCAAAGGGTGTTAGTCCCAGGAGCAAAGGATGTGCAACAAACTTAAGAGAGACTATAAAAGGAGATGTGTCACATTAGAAAACTCAAGGCAAATACTGCTTGTCAATGAACAATAATTTACAACCAAAAGAAGAAGCCATCAAAAGGATGTGCAACAAACTTAAGAGAGACTATAAAAGGAGATGTCTCGCAATAAAAAAATCAATGCAAATTTTGCGTGTCAATGAACAATAATTTACAACAAAAAGAAGAAACCATCATTCGACCGGTTAGACAATTAGCAATGCTGGGCTAAACTTTAAAAAAAGCCAGGCATTTGATGTATTTCTACACAAAATAGCAATACATACAATACATAGATAAAGAATTTTACAAGTAGTAGTAAAAACACTTAAAGGGCAACTCCGCTTCATCAGCGGGCGAATTGAGGTGCAACCAACAGCGCAGTCAAGGCTACGGCATGGGCGGAGCCAACATTGAGCTAAACGTCATCATCATGGCCCCCTTTTGCTTGTTTTTACTTCTCCGATCGAGCGTAGCGCATGACGTCAGCAACGTTGCCTCTCGGCGCTCAGCGGTGTCCACGTGATTGGCGTACGCGCCTGCGCAGCGCGCTTCTTGGGAGCAGACCAACCGCCGCCGTGGTCCCGCCGTTATCGCCGTCTTCCGCGTCACAACCACCGTCGTCGTCTCACCGTTTGTGATTATTGCCTCTCGGAGTTTCATCCCAACTATGGACGCCACGTGCGCAGAGTCGCAGACTTATGCCGCAGTTGTGCAGACGTCGTCGAATGCTGTAGACACCAAAACGTGGCGAAGAGTGCGGTGCAGACGACACTCGCGCCTGCCGCACGCCCGCCGCCCCTATCCCGCCCGTCGTTGGGCCGAGGATCACGTGACATCTCGTACCACGTGATGGCCATGTACTTGGCGGCCCGAGGCCAATGTTGCCGGACAGAGCCGAATTTTCGGTTTCGATTTCTGCTCGTGTTTAAAATTAGATTTAAAAATATATATCCCATTTTTCGCGAAGCAAACGACGTAGTGTCTTTTACTAGGGCTTTTTAATTCGAAATCACTCATTATCCCGAAATCTTCGGAATTGAGCGGAGTTGCCTTTTAAGAGCCGCGAGGTCACTTGCAAACACTGTGCTAGCCATAATTTGCTGTGTTAACGACGTCGACTTTTAACTTGTCTTTTTTACAAACATACAAGACACCAAGCTTGTGCACTGACACTGACGCCAATCCTAAATGCGACCGAATCACTTCAACTTATATGAGCTTATCTCTCTTCTAGGGAGGCTAACTCTGTCCAAACTCGTTTAGTTTACTTTTATAGCTTACTACTTACTACATACTTACCTATATCTTGCAAGTTTCTGCTTCGGACAAAACCAAACTGTTCTACATCTACAAAATATTGCACAAAGATGCGACAGTCAGGAATGCAACTTACGCCTGCAACGTCGCTTCTCGCAGACCATTGGCGCAGGGCAAGCTCGATCGTCATCGCAGAAGGGTGGAACTGTAATCAACGAACAAATCATGTTCAAGAGCTCGAGGAGACAATAAAAAAGTAAGTACAAAGGCTCCACAGGAAATGAGAAGTCAGCACTTACTGCGCACGCATCCTTGGAGGTTGTTGTAAGGCTGTCCCGTGAAACCATGTGGGCAGAAACAGTTTGGTCGATGGTTCTCCACCCGACAAATGGCGTCGGGACCACAGGTGTCGGGAAGGCTGCAGGGACCTGCATTGTGGCGATAGAAACATTAAAGACACAGACCACCTCTTGAAGCATGCTCTAACAATGTGTGTGCAGTGCAAATCAGTTCTAGGACTAATTTTGGGCAGTGTTTGAACAGAAGAACAATAGCTTTACAGTACTCTGACACTGCACAGAGCACATAACAATCATTCTTAATGGGCAACTCTCCTCGATTTCAAATGCATGGCTCTCGTGCCCGTGGCATGTAGGCTTGGTAGAGCGTGCAGTCGTCGGTTGCACCCGTGGCGTGCAAATGGCGACTACCCTCGGAGCGGAGACTTTGCTCAGTGTGTGCTTGGTGACAGCAAAACGGACTACACATACTATGAGGGCTCTTGCTCGAAGGCCTTGTGTGCACCAGTTTCGTGAAGCCGCTTCACACATTATTACGAGGCGTGCGGGAATTCCAGGAAGACCGACTCACTCTTGCACATGGGGGTGCTGTTGTGGTCGGATAGGCACGCCGCAGTTGGGGGACAGTCCGAGTCTCCGTTGGGACATTCGTTTGGATGACGACCTTCAAACGACAAGAAAAGCAAATATGCGGCCATTACATCACCAACTACCGACCTTAATCTTACAATAGTAGCTGTTATTGCCCCTTCCTGGACAAAAATGCTCATGTACAAACACAAAAGCCCACTCTACAGTCTCCTCCCCGTCGTTCCTCACATACGACAAAGACATATCTCTTGCCCCCCTTCCCCCTTGTAGGCTGCCACTGTCCTGAGGAGCCCACGTGATCGTGGGGAAAGTGCTCTCCCTTCCTTCCCCACCCCTCCTGCAGCCGCCGTTGAGAAATACCCCCATGGTCGCACTGCGCGGACGCGCACCCTCGCCTCCCCACTGCTGCCGCCCAGGTTCCGTTCTCGCATGTCCCCACACCTGTACAGAACAGCTCGCATCGATATTTTCACTTCGTCCACCAAAACAAGTCTCTGTGTCCTTCTTCAACGCATTGAAAACAAAGAACCGATTGCAAACGTTGAACAGCACACGGGCTAAAGACAAATCTCCTTCAACATGACTTTCCACAGTGCTGCAGCTACCGCCGTCAATCTTAGCACACTTTGTGAGGTCGTCTGCAATTTTTTGTTCCCAGTAGGTGTCATTAGGCACGAAGAAAAAAGCAATCACGCACACTCGTTCAACACCTTTCAATCCCCTTCCAAGAAGATATAATTCTGTCCCAACCACAGTCATTGCATCAAAACACTAGCTTTGAACACTTATATTCTCTTCCCAATCTAGAGCTCATCTTCTCAAGAAATTGTTTGTATCATACTACTGACCCAGAACTCTATTCCCATGCAATCACCTCACACATCAACAAACCACACTTTTTTTTTTCCACCAGCATCCCAATAATCACTATCTGTGTGCTGCCATCTTTGTCTACCGGGCTGTCAGACGCACTGTGAGCATGCGGAGCAGCTGTCTTGTGAAAAACAACAGATGCCACACATGTGTTCACAACCCAGTGACTCAACATTTTTCATCTGTTCGACAGGCGCTGGAAAGTTACATATAATGCTCTACCGATCTCCCGAGGAACAACAGAATACCGGAATTTTCACGGCCAAATATTCGATCTCAGATACAGGTGCAGCTGAAAAAATCTGCAGTCTATCACCACAAAGTGTGAAGAAGTGTCAGCAACAGCTGTTTTTGCACGTAGTAACACCCGCTTTTATGCGCATCCACTCTTTATTCGCTCGATCGCGCACAACACGGCCTTGTGGTCAGTGAAGTGTGCAGGAAAGGGAACACGCTCCACACATGAGTCCCTGCCCGACTATTAAATTGAGACAGGTACCAATATGAGAGGTGGGTTGCTTTACATCCGATAGTACACGCAAACCGAGTTCTTAATGGTGAGGGACATTTAGCAACATTCTTTGCCAACCATAGAAGTAGAAGACACTGCCGCTTAGCTAGAGCCAAGTGGCAACATTGCAAAGTGTGCACGTCCAAGCGCACATGAAACAGAGTTTTCTGCCTGGCACAACGTCGATGCCGCAAGTGCATCCAAGAAGTCTCTACAACAGCTATCGCTGTAAAAAGGCTCCCAAAGGCTCCACTCACATCCCGGGGGGCCGTTGGGGTTCCCGATGTGCTTCTCAGGAGGACACTCGCAGGTGGCGCCTCCAAACTTGTTGCGGCAGATAGCGGAGTTGTGGCAGGGGTTCTGCTTGATGCAGTAGTCGATGAGCTGGCAGCCGCTCACAGGGTCCCCCTCGTAACCGTCTCGGCAGCGGCAGATGGCCGCGTGGTTCTTGGCTTCGCAGACGGCGTTGGCCCCGCAGCCCCGACGCATTATGCAGGGATCTGGGGGCACGGAACGGCAACGGTTAACGGCAGTCGCAGACGACTCGGCAGTCGGCATACCTCATATACTGATTGCAAAGATTCACATCTATTTCTGAGAAATAAGAAAGCTGATACATTTAGAGCAGTATAAAGTGTGTTTTAGTTGTCCCGCAGCGGAACAACTGAAGGACATTCCACAATGGTGTTTTTGGGATCACATCAGCTCCAATGGTGTGCATGTACACAAAACAGAATTGAAGGTGGAGACGCGGACTGGAAGCTAGAAGCTAGCATAGGGAAACCTTTGCACTACCGTAAGTCTTGGCCACAGGAAGCTGATTTTATATTGGACTATGAATTGAAGGACATTAAGATACTATAATTTTGAAGATTTATGAACATTCGAAATGCCTGCAAAATATCCTTGGTTCAGGACATTTCCTCAACCTGGCACTCGCAAACAAGTTAGTGTTGAATGGCAGTTAAGAGACTCTCACCTTAATTCAATACTGTACAGTAGAACTAGTAAATAATGATATAGTGAAACAAAGTAGAAGTATGCTTCTAATACTGGTAAACAGACATTTAAGGCACTGAAAAAGTAACAATTCTAGGACACATAGCAAATGTTTTTTACTGAAAAGAAAAAAAGAAAAGACTTCATTAGGGACAATTTAAACTTTTTTTTTTTTTATCGCATTCTGTAAGCTTTATTTTTCCAAGTTCTTGTTTGTTTCGAAAATTCCGACTTACCAACACATTTATGCTCGTTGCAGATTCTGTTGGAACGACAGTCTTCGTGCTTGAAGCAGTCAGCTGGAAAAAGAAATGGCACGATCAGTTGAAGTTACCTAGGCATCTGAAGTCAATAAAACGAAAGACGAGAAAAAGTACCTTTGATGCAGCCCACCCTTTGGTCCAACGGATCGCCAACGTAACCTTCAAGACACTGACAAACAGCACTGTGCTTGTTTGAAATGCACACGGCATTTCTCCCACAGAGAATGTTCTCGCAGGGATCTGAAAACAGTTTGTGTGTTGTTTGACACAGGCAATTCATTATAGTATAAATGAATTTGCTTATTCAGTACCCAGAATAAATACTAAAACCCAATGCTTACCTCCACAACTGTCATATCCTCTGTCGCTGGATTTGCAAACTTGGTTTTCGGTACACTCAGAGTTTGTGAAGCATCTGTCGACTAAATTTGAAAAAAGCATGGCATTACCAAAAGACTGTTCAGATTTTTCTTTTTCTAGAATATATATTGTGGGGTTTTAAAATTATGAAGCCACATACGTGGTTCACAGTTTCCAGTGACACAGCGGAACTGGTCAGGACAGTCGCTGTTCGAACGGCAGATTTCTAAGAAAAAGAAAGCAAATGGGTTGATCATTATTTCTCCTCTCTCTCTCTCTCTCTCTCTCTCATGAGGGGTGTTGTCAAAAAATTCTCGTATAAAAGCTTGTCAAGGTTTCTGGACAAATTCAAAAGTCATACCTCTGCATCTTCCATCTTCACAGATTTCATTACTGCCACATTCCCTGTTTGATTGACAGTAAACTAAAAGAAAGAAAAAGAAAGATTTAAAAAGAAAAATTGGTTGTAATCCTCGAAACATTCGAAGCAAATTAGCTCGATGCTTGGGCTTGTTCATAGTTGGACAAGCCCAAACTATGAACATGACCAATCCATGCTGAGCATACGCAGACAAGCAAGGTTTCTATTGTCTTCTTTTCGAAAATACATTACCTCTGCACAAGCCCTTGTAGCAAAACTCTCCGACTGGACAGCCATTGTCACTTGAACAAGGAATATTTTCTGAAAAGTTATTGGAATATAAGTGATTCAAGCACTCAAAAGTGGTGATGATCAAAATGCTACATGTTTTGGGGCATACTCACTGATGCAGCCGGTACTAGGATTTCCACGAAAACCGTCTTTACACCTGCAGATTGCTTGGTGGTCTTGGGAGATGCAGATTGTGTTCACACCACACTTTGCGTTGCTCTGACAAGAGTCTACGAAGAGAGAAATGACAAAGAGACATGGTCTCTCAATGTGCCTCTCAAAGCTAAATTAAAACTTCATTGCCACACATAAATATTTATAAGCACTTTAACAAGCACTGTTGTCAAACCACCAGTAGGAACTAAGAATAGCACACTGAGAGAAATAGCCTTTCAAAGGCTCAGACATGAGGAAGAATTAGATTTCTATCTACTAGTTGTATGAATAGCTCAAAATATGGTACTTGACACTCTCCGAAATATAGAGTGTGAGTTAGCATAAACAAACAATGCTAGTTTTTTTTAACAGTTAAAGGTTGTTATACAGGTCACTAGGGTAATGGAATGTGCACATCCTGATCACCAATTTGGGCGGCAAAACGTGGTGTTTGACTGAACCCTGGTTGTGAGAAGTAAAATAAGAAATGGTGATGTTGTGTTTGCATTAACAGTATGTTACAACATACTCAATTGTCTGTTTTGAACGTTCCTGAAGACTACTAAAATAGTGATAGAACGTAAAGTAAACAAAAGAAAAGGCGAAAATTGCATGTCGCAAGCATAAAAACGTTGGCGAAATCAACGTCTGAGCGGTGGAGTAGAGCTTTGGCAATGCCAATGAAATAAAAAATAAGTTCCACCATACCAACACACTTGTTCCTGATGCAGATGTGAGTGCTGCGACATTCCTCATCATGGGTACACTCCACTGAAATGAAAGTAACAATACACTTGATATTGTGAATTACTACTTGATAAAACAATAAGGATCATTTATCCCTCAAGTCTGTCTTATTCTGCATATCTTTATAAGTGCTGAATCTTCTGCTGAATCACACAAACTGTTTGGAGCTAGGAACTTTCAGGTATTGCACCGATACTAGCCTCCCCACACGGTCGAGGTTGCTCCAAGGCTGCTCTGAGGCACTACAAGTATGGTTCATGAACACAACGTTCTTGGCACCTTTGTGCAGCCTGCAACTGGTACATTCTTTTGTTCAGGTTGCATTATTCATAGTATATTTTCACAACACCCCCTTTCATGAATGCAGAAGCAGTTGCTGCTATGCCATCTCTTTCCAAGCAGTATAGGACAGTCATCATTGTTTGTGGACTGAGTTTTGAAAATAATATGCCGTGTGACAAGCCATAAAGAGAATTCAAAGGATCAAATGAGAGAAAAAAATCCTCACCAAGCTCGCAACGGATCTTGGGATTGCCAGTATAACCAGGCTTGCAAGCGCACACAGCTTTGTGGTTGACCGTGCTGCAGTTGGCATTAATGCCGCAGGTAGTAGGATCCTCGCACAGGTCTGAAAATGCGTGGAAATGAGCACCGCAGATGGGGCAATATGTTTCCGTGGCAACTGCTCTCAAGGAGAGTTCTGAAGTGATGTGGAAAGCCGTCAATATATGAGAATTGGAATGGTTACCTCTGCAGTAGGGGGTTCCATTGATGTCAATGCAGGCTGAGGTTGGCGGACAGTCTGCATTTCCACTGTAGCAGATGTTTGGATCATGACCTGCAAATACATTCGTGGGAAGAAATGTTTTTTTACTATGTAATCACAACACGGTTTTAAGCATGTCTTATGCTGAGAAACCCGAGGTACCGAATTTGACTTTGATTTTTCCTTAGAAGTATTTACTTCACATTTGATGTCGAAGTATTATGTTTGACAGTAGAGTCACACTAAAGCCACCCAAACATGCATCTAGTCCTGTTTCACTTAAACCTGTCTCAATTTTCATGTTAAATTACCTTACCCATTGAGATTCCCTTTTGTAAAAAAAAAGGTGTTTCATTTTTCTTAGTATCTTAAGGGTAAAAATATTTGTAGGGAAGCCTGTTGAAATGACATTGTTAGACTCTCGTCCAACAACTTTCCCCTTAAAATTTGTCCTGAATACACAAGAGGCTTTAACAACAAGCAGACCACTCACATCCATTAATTCCTTGTTTTCCATAGGCATCTCCAACCAAGTTACTTGGGCACCTGCAGATGTAGCTTCCCAAGTTGTTCTCGCAAAGAGCAGTGTAGTGACAAGGATGTTGCTTGCATTCATCGACATCTGTAGAACAGAAAACAAGACGGGTTGTGCTTGACCCAATTTAGAAGAACTGAAGCGGGAAGTTGAGGGCTTCCGTAAAAATGTGCGAGACAAGTCGTAAGAGGCAACTGGAGACTTGGGTAACAACTCACCGACACAGTTCAGCCTGCCGTTGTTTTCATAGCCAAGTTTGCATTCACAAAACGCTTGGCGGTTCTTCACAGTGCACGTGCCATGGGGTCCGCATTGTACCCTGTCGCAAGGACCTGGGAAAGCGAGTTGTCTGTCAATGATGTGCTCAAAGGAGGAAAAGGTCCACAACTACAACTCCCTCCAGAAGGAAAAATAAAACTTACTTTCACACACAAAATTGACACACTCTTGGTTAAGGGGGCAGTCGGTGTCGTGCAGGCAGTCCACTGCAGAGACAAACAGGTGGAATGTTTAGATGTCGAAAATATGAGTGCGAGCAAAGGTACTAAGTAATGCCGGACTTCTCTGACAACAAAACGAATGCGAGATCAGCAAATGCACTCTGAGCAGAGTAAAAGCATAGCCCTGACATGGATCGCAGAAGAGTGTTAGCTGCTAGACATGTGCAAATATAAAAAAAATATTTTACCTTCGATTCAAATATTAGTGCATTCAGTTATCCCTAAAAATCTAATTGTAGTATCAGAACATACAAGATACTTTTTAGTATACTGTAGTTTCGAGTATTTACAGAATTTATGACAAAGTATTTTAGCTTAAATAACTGAGTAGGCTTTCATGCGGCCAAATTGCACTGCAATGAAGTGTGCAAAGGATAAGGCAGCTTTTACAGATTGGAAAGTTGAAGCTTTGTTCTTGTTCATCATGTTGCTAAATTATAAATCTGACCGAGGTTACAAGGAAATAACACTTTTCTTTAAGCCTTATCAAAAGATCACATGGTTTTTTAATTCAACTTTTCTACTTTGTGGAAATTAGTCCGAATCTGACATAGCTTGCACTGACATCACTTGGTCAGACAAAATGGGAAAAAGAGCGCCCATTTTTAACCATTTCTAGTTACTTGAACTAACTTGTGAGGTAAAACATTGAGCACTACAGAACCTCCTTAAAAGAAGAACGACAACAAACCTTCAACCAAATTGAGCTAAATTGTCTTCGTTATGGGGGCTTTGCCGCACGACGTCGGCTCCAAAGAGACATTTTCTAGAACCGACAAAGGCTGTAGAGCAGTGCTGCTCTATTGTAGGGTTTAAAATTCGGCAGAGACACTCAAGACTTCTTACGTGTAGGAATGCAAAAGCATTCCTACATGCAGCACATTCCTACAAGCAGTGGGCCACGTCTTTGTTTTGCACATGGCACTCCGGCGGTGACATCACGCTCCCTCACTGCAGAGGCGTGGCGAACCCCACCGGCTTTCTTTGTGTTTTATTTCTGAGACGCGTCCACTTTGACCTTGAGCGCACCCACCGGCTTCCGTAACGAAATATCTGCGTTGCTGTGCTTTTTTTTTGTGTGTTTTATTTGGAATGAGAATTTAGGTGCCGTTCGCTGAGCCAATGGGAATATAGGTGCCGTTTTCGTTGCTACAGACAACGGTTACAGATAATGGCTCCCAGACAATGCCAACTTCGCTCCACGGGACCCCCCAGTTGATGTTTTCGCATTAAAAATGGGCACCATGCGGAAATATACGTAGCAACTTGCACGGATGCTGCGACATGGCAGCGTGGCATAGGTCCACGTCACAGCATTCGTGCAGGTTGCTATGAAAACTGCCATGCGGTGCCCGTTTCCATCGCTCATGTGGCCCCTGCTTAATGGTCCACATTAGACAACTTCTTGGCCTGAGGAACAAACTTAATTTTGTTTTGAGTTGTCACGTGCTGGCTAAGCAATCCACAATAAAAACTTTTTAAAGATAAATAATCTTATGTCATACATTTCATAGATGTTTCATGTGTGGCATACCTGCTGATGATCAGTAGGCCTACTGTAAAATACTGGGCAGGCACCCACTCAAAATTTGGAAATAATCACGAAAAAATGAGGGATGGGCGCTTCACCGGTCATCAATGTTGTATATACAGTCGAATCTCGTTAATTTAAACTATCTTAATTCAAACTTGCGGATAATTCAAACTAACATACAGGTCCCATCCTCTGCGTCTAGTCGAATCTCGTTAATTCGAACTCGAGGGGGACCAAAAATTTGTTTTAATAAAGCAAAGTTTGAATTAGTACCGGGAGTTTCCTCCCATAGAGACCCATAGGATGGGACCTTCACATTGGTTTGAATTATCTGCAAGTTTGAATTAAGAGAGTTTGAATAATTGAGATTTGACTGTATACGCAAGGAAACTCCCAGTAATTCAAACTTTGCTTTATTAAAAAAAATTTTCGGTCCCCCTCGAGTTTGAATTAACAAGATTCAAATATAAATGTACTGTGCATATTCTCTGAAATCTTACAAACTTGGAAATTGGCGCTTAGTGTAGAATGGGCGAATGCGCAATATTCTATGGTACGTAGGAAAAATCATCAAATATCTGCTTTGTATGTGTAGCCATACATATGGCAAAACATAATTTTATCTTGCGTCATATTTAGATGAATTTCTGATAATTCGAACTTCATAATTTGTGGTTTTCTGGAGTTTGAATTAATGAGAAGCTACTGTAATCTGCCATAATTAGCAAATGAACAGTTACATGAAGATTTCACTCAGCCATTTATGCTCTCAGTAAAACATAATGACTTGCTTGAGAAGAAACGAGTCATTCTGTCTTTTTGAGGTCATAATGATTGCGACAAAAGACGGTGAGACCGCCACTACTTACCCTGAACGCATCCCCTGTTCTTGTCATATGGGTCACCGGTATAGAGGGCATTCTTCGGACATCCACACTGCCTCTTGTGGTTGACAACAGTACAGGCAGCATTGGGGCCACAAGGTTCTTCGCATGGATCTGCAAGTAACAGAAAAAATATGTCGATTCAAGTTTCAAGTAATATGTCACGCAACCTCTCCTGTCGATTGAAAATGACCTTTTAAATTCTTTTTTGGATCAATGTAAGATGTCCAACGCAAATAATGTGGCACAAGACGTGCCACATCCATTTGCGTTCAGGCATTAAGGCAACTAAAGGATGCATTAAGAAAGTTTAAAAAATGACTGGAAGACAGAGGTCCACCATCACTCAATTTTTTTCAGATCAAAGCTATCCGAATGTTTGAAAACAATAACAAGTAAAAACTTACATAGTATACTGTAATTGTGTATGATGGTGTAATACATTATCTGCTTGCAATAAACCATTAGTACAGTTTTGCCTAAGTGCCTGTTATGTACACTGGTTGTAGCGAGACTCCCTGATTTACTATGTCGTACGATAATGCCTTATGCGTAACATTAAACACAGTCCAGTTTAAATACTATGGCTCACGAGCAGACGACTTGTTAACCAAGGGTGCCCGAAAGCCACAAAGGTATGCATTATGCTCGTTAGACTGCCAGTGACCCCAGTAGCGTTTTAAGAACCCTGTCAACAGAAAAGTGGACCCACTGATGCACTTGGTGACTCCGTTCTGGTCGCAGGCTGCGTTCAGGGGACAGTCGACGTCCCCCCTGGGGCACTCTCCAGGGTTCGTGCACCCTGAGAAGCCGTCCCCAATGAATCCCTCCGGGCAGCGGCACAGGAAGCTACCCACGGTGTTCTCGCAGATGCCCGTCGAGTGGCACGGGTTGTTCACGCACTCGTCGACATCTGCGTTTCAGGCGAGACAGGCATGATAGTACTGCAAGTGATGCTTTTATGAGCTGAGAAACACGAAAGAGCGGTTTCCAGTTTACGACATCTCCAACTTTGGCCCCATGGGCAAGTAAAAAGGCAACACACAAAATGCTTTCAAATTAATTAAGATAGCATGCGTATGTACGAAGCAAGCGTGCTTTGAACGTGCTCAAGGCGTGACCACAGACAATTGCGTCATCGCGTCTGCGGCGAATGCCGTGCACGATGGACGAGCAGTTTGACCGCGTGACGAGGATTGCCAGATGTAAACGACAAGCTAGGTGCTATGAGTGCAACAAGCACGGCAAAAGCATGAGGCCATTGTGTTCATAAAACCAACACGGTCAAGGTTCACAGTCTGACGTTACTCTTATCTCCGTCGATAAAAACAGAATAATACAACCAAAAAACTCTCATCCTACTAAAACATTTCAGTGCCCATTTGGCCAAGGCTGGCTTGCCACAAAAATGCTTTTACCCCTGTAACTCCAAGGTTGCTCCCGTCTTTAAAAAAAAAAATTGCAGCCCCCGCCCCTCTCTTTGAAGAAAGTTTTGAGGACGCCCAAGCTTGCAGCACAACATTATCTACACGGCCGTTCGGTGCTCGGTTAATATTATTCGCGTCCTCGATAGCCGTAGAAGTGCGAGCGAGGATGTAGGAAAGCGAACGGGTGTCACCTTCGCAGCTGTGGTCAACGTCGTGGAAGCCCGGCTTGCAGGAGCAGTGGTTGAGCGAGCAGACCTGGTGCACCTGGCAGTCGCTGTCTGAACGGCAGCCGGTCTGGCAGTAGCCGTGGATGCACAGTTCTCCCGCGGGACACTCGCTATCTTCGGAACAGGCCGCTGCGGATCCAAACGTTCACTTCGTTTAGAATTAGATTGTTTGAAGGCTTACAAAACACTATCGCTATTAGTCCATATTCTTTAGGTGGCCATGTCTTTATAACAGTGGCTACAACCAACAAAGAGGCATGACGGAAAAAAGATTTTCAAAGCCTCGGTAAGGGTGAGTTTGAAAGCTTAAAAAACTGAGGAAATGACAAAAAAAAGATTAGATTGAATTATACAACCAACAACCTCTTACCTTTGGCTGCTATTTTATGTCAAGGTGCATGCTTTAAAATATTTAAAACAGCAGCTCCTATATGTATGCCTAGTTTAGGAACCAAGAATACAAAAGCCCGATATAGAAAAAGGTTGTCTGTAACCATAATTTGAGTAAACCGATGATACCTAAACCCTCTGCATAATTCGTGTCAGATGAAACTTACTCCAAAAACTAAAATGCAGAAGAATTTTTTTTTTTTTTCAGCCTAACAGGGCAACTCTGGTCAGTGACCTCAAGACACAGCTAACATACTTGGATGAAATAAAAACCAAGTGCAGAATAGATGCAAAAGAGAGGGCATATATTCTCTTTTACGAGCACTCACCCATGCAGAAATCCTTGACGCAAGCCTCCCCAATGATGCAGCCACTACAAGTGGCTCTACAGCGGTTCTCGATGCAAGAGAGCCCCTTGGGACAAGAACCGGTGCAGGTGACCACAGGACGCTTGCAGCCAATGATGGGCGTCGGGTTCCCCGTTAGCGTGTCGGGGCAGAAGCAGTTGGCCTCGTGGTTGCTGACCTTGCAGATGGCGTTCGGCCCGCACAGGCCCTTGATCTCGCAGGGGTTCTGGCAGCGATTCTGCGAGCAGGTCTCCTCCAGCTGGCAGTCCGTGTTCTTCCGGCAGCCCACCTGGCAGTAGCCTGCACTCAAGCAGGCCTCCTTCGGGGGGCAGTCCGTGTGAGAGTAGCAGGGGTGGACGCAGCGGCTGTTGATGCACTTCTCGCCCGAGGCGCAGTCGCTCTCCCGCGTGCACACCAGGCGGCATTGCTCATCTACGCAAGCATAGCCGGACGAGCAGTCGTGGTCACTTAGGCAGACCACCGACTCGCGGCTGCAACCCTGAGCCGGGTCGCCGCGGAAGTGGGGCTGGCACTCGCAGGTGGCCGCATGGCCCTCGGCACGGCAGACGGTGTTGGTGCCGCACTTGAAGTGGTCGCAGGGGTTCTGGCACATGGGCTGTCCGAGCCTGTCCGGGTAGCAGGCCAGGTGGCTCGGACAGTCCCCGTTGCCGTGGGGACACGAGTTCGGGTGGCGGCAGCCCTGGCGGTAGGGGTCGCCGATGAAGCCGTGCTGGCAGATGCACTCATAGCCACTTGGCACGTCGATGCAGCGGGCCGAGGCGTGACACGGGTTCGAGTCGCAGTAGTGGATCTCCTCGCAGCGCACGAGCGCATCGCCCGTGTAGCCTGGTCGGCAGTGGCAGATGCGCTGGTGGTTCTGGGCCACACAGGCCGCGTTGATGCCGCAGCCATCCACGCACGGGTCCTCGCAGTAGAAGTTGGGGAAGCAGGCCTTGGTGATGTGGCAGTCCTCGTCCTTGAGGCACTCCACCTGCTTGCAGCCCTCCCGCTGGTCGTAGGGGTCACCGATGTACAGGCCGTTGGGACAGGAGCACTTCGGGAGGTGGTTGTCCACCACACAAACCGCACGGGGCGCGCACTTGAGGAACTTGCAGCCGTCCTGGCACCGGCGCTCCCCGTACGCCTCGTCGAACTGGCACACTTCGTTGGGGTGCGGGCAGTCCGAGTGGTTGATGCACTCAGGCTCGGGGACCTTGCGGCACCCGTCCCTGCTGTTGGGGTCGCCTGTGTAGCCCTCCCTGCACGAGCAACGTCCCCTGTGGTTGAATGCGACGCAGTTTGCATCCGGAGTGCAGCTGAAGCTGATGCAGACTTCGGCGCACTTCATCACCCCGATGGTGTTGGGAATGCAGGCGGACGTGGTGGGGCAGCCTGTGTGATTGGAGCATTCGTCGCGCTCGCGCTCAACACAGCCGAGCACATTCTCCCGATCCCTGATGAAGCCGTGCCGACACTGGCACTCGTACGCGTGCTGCCTCGGGACACAGTTGCTGTTGGGTCCGCACTTGTTGAACTGGCAGGCGTCAAAGCACCTCTTGCTGCCCGTGTTGTCCGTGCGGCAGACGTCGGTAATCCTCTTACAGTCGTCATCCACCTGGCACTCATCCTTGGGCCGGCAACCGTTGATCGGGTTGTCTGGGTCTCCCTTGAAGTCTTGCAGGCAGTGGCAGCTGGCACGATGATTGAACGCACGGCAGACGGCGTTTGGACCGCACTGCTTCTTCTCGCACGCGTCGACGCATTTTCTTCCCTGAACGCAGATTTCGTGCGATGCGCACTCGTCGTCGGAAGTGCAGCCTTCGGCGACCGGCTGGGTAGGGAAGCAGGCGATGTGAGGGTTATAGGGATCGCCCTGAGTGCTGGGCGGGCAGCTGCATTGCGCCTTGTGGTGGATGCCGACACAAAAGGCGTTGGGTGCACACTTCTCGTACACGCAGACGGGCACGCACTTCCTGAGCCCGGTGGTGTCGGGGCGACAGATGAGGTCTTCTCTGCAGTCCACGTCAACCTGGCACTCGTCTGGTATGTGGCACCCCCTGATTAGTGGGTCTCCCACGAGACCTGGTTTGCAGCTGCACGTCGGCCTGTGGTTCACAGCCTGGCAGACGGCCCCCTGCGCGCAGTTGTGGCCCTCGCAGGCGTCGTGGCAGTCGTTCTTGCCGTCGAAAGACCTCTTGCACACTGCGATGGAGGGGCAGTCGTTGTCTCTGTGGCAGCGTTCCGGCTGGATCTGACACCCGGTCGCCCGGTTGTATGGGTCACCCACAAAAGACTCTCGACAACGGCACTCGGAGATGTGGTTCTCTGTTCGACAGATGGTATTTTGTCCGCAAAGCGTGGTTGTGCAACCAACAAGACAACTTCGGATCCCGTTGTGATCGACGCCGCACACCTCGTCGTCCCTGCAGTCGCTGTTGCTCCGGCACTTCGGAATAGGCGTGCAGCCCTCTCGAATGTCGTCGGGGATGCCTTCGAACCCGATCCTGCACTCGCATGAAGCCCTGTGGTTGGTCGTGATGCAGTCCGCGTTTGGCCCGCAACGTCGATCCCAGCAGGGATCCGTGCAGTTCTTGACGCCGTTTCTCGTCAGCAGGCAGACGGCGGAGTCGGGGCAGTCATTGTCGTGCTCGCACAGGTGCCTCATGCAGCCCCTCCTGAGGTCATGTGGGTTGCCCGCAAACCCGGGCAGACACTCGCAGGCCGCCAGGTGGTCCATAGCGATGCAGTTGGCATTGGGCCCGCACTCGTAGTTCAGGCAGAGCTCGATGCAGTCCTTGATGCCCACCTGCGTCAGCTTGCACACCTCGTAGCCCTTGCAGTCGATATTGCTGTGGCACCTGTCGAGCGGGATGGGCGTGCAGCCACGGGTGAAGTCGCCGGGGTTGCCGTTGTATCCCTCTCGGCACTCGCAGATGGGCTTATGCACCCGGCCTACGCAATGCGCATTGGGCCCGCACCGAGTCTTGCTGCAAGTCCGCGTGCAGTTCTTGATCCCGCGCGCATTGGGGAGGCAGCGGTCGCTCTCCGGGCAGTCTGCATCGTGGAAGCACTCGTCGAGGAGTGGCTGGCAGCCCCTGACTCGGTCGTTGGGGTTTCCGAGGAAGGAGTCGCGGCAGACGCACGTCGGCAGGTGCCTCTGGCCGAGGCAGCGGGCGTTGGGGCCGCATGTGTGCCGCAGGCAGACGTCCACGCACTTGTTCCCTCCGGACTGGTGGCGGCAGGACTCGTGTTCCAAGCAGTCCTCGTCCACGGCGCAGTCGTCTGGCACCTGGCAGCCCGTCCCGTCGTAGACGTAGCCAGGCAGGCACTCGCAGATGGCCTTGTGGTGCTCCCCCAGGCAGTTTGCGTTCTTGCCGCACGTCTTGTCCTCACACACGTCGCGGCACTGCTTGACGCCCTTGGTGCCCAGCTTGCACTCAAAGTTTTCCCTGCAGTCGTGGTTCTCCAGACACTCGTGTTGGGGTTTGGCTGTAAGGATTGTGGTATAAACCGTGTTAAACATTAACATTTCCTTGCTTCATTAAAATAAGATACCTTGGTCATACAAATCCTCATTTCCTGGTGACTACTAGTAACATACTACCAAATTTCGTTAAAGTGCTTAAATTTCCTATTCAAATTTCATATGGACCGAGTTCTTGCAAGATTAGCACATGTTCTTTTTGCTTGACGGCAAACCCAGTAAATAGCACTGACATACGAAAACAGGCACAATATTAGATTAATCAAAATTAGGAGCAAGATGCAACAGATTTTCTGAATTGATCACTGTGGTCTAGCATATTTGACATAAAAGAAACAGTCATCACTGGCAGTATCGTTCGTGTCACCATAAGATGCCATCTGATGCCTTGACATGCAAGTGCCTGAAACTAAGTTTTCTTTCAGCCATCTATAGTGCAACTGCAGTGTGTCCAAGCAATATCAAATGTTAGACTCGATGCAAGTAGAAAGGTCCTTACTTGAGCACCCCCGAATCAGGTCGTTGGGATCTCCAACGAAGTGGTCTCTGCACACACAGTTTGCCTTGTGACGAAGGGCACGGCAGACCGCGTTAGGCCCACACTGAGTGTTCAGGCAGACATCTACAGGGACAAATAAAGTCACATTTAGAATCATGCAAAAGGGCCTACAAGGCAGAACTAAAGAGGGCTGAAGTAAACGGTACCTTGGCACTCGCGGACATTCTCTTGGTTGACAACACAAGCCGCATTAGATCCGCACACATCGTCTGTTTCACAGGCTGCGGCACCTATAATCAATAGACATGAGAGACAAGTTAGAACCGTACAGGTGTTCACTGCTCTTTCAAAGCAAATCGATAACATTCAGAAAACTTGTTCTACTGTAAGTTCAGATTGCCCAGGTCAATTTCTTCTAACAAGTTTTAAATTAGTTGCAGCAAATCTCAGCTGCAAAATTTTTAAGTAAAAACATTATACTAGTCTTTGGGAAACTCAAGTCAAATTAAAACAGTATGAACCAATAAGAATTAGTTTACATCAGAAATTCCATACCTACAAGGTGTCATCCTTAGTTTAGACAAAAAGTGCCTTATATTTATTCGTGGACAAAGATTATGTTGGTGCGGGTAAAGATTGAAGAAAGAATAAACGCTTAGGACAAAGACAACAAACTACCAACGGACATATATAGAAATTCCAAAAGTGAGCAACCGATTAAAGGCAGGAAATTTGAGGAAAGGGAAAGTAACTAAGAAGAGAGGAAAGAGGGAAGAGACAATAAGATAAAATGCATAGTCAGGTCGACAGAGTCATTTCCGACTTGAGAAATTCATATTGACATTTGATGGTTCTACCCATATTTTCTCCCTAATTTGAAGTTGACACAATCTGCATGTGCATGGGACGTATTCACTATCTCATATGCAGCCAAACAAACATCCATATCAAGAGCTCATAACAGTCGTGTCTAGTTAATAGACTGCACACGCATAATGAGACTGCCACTCTACCAGAGGCCTTCACTTGCACGTTTCGTTACGTCTCGTGTGAGGGTGACCTTGTTCACCCACTAAGCCTGCACATACACAGACGCAGACTGGGTGAAAAGAGTCTGAACAGACAACTGCAGAATGTGTAATGCAAGTTCTGCGACTCGAAACGGAGCACTTACTTCTGGGTGGGGTGCAGCCCACTTCCAAGTTGCCCGGGTCACCCTGGAATCCTTGCAGACACTGGCAGACGCCGAAGCTGTTCTCCACAAAGCACTCGGCGTGTGGCCCGCAGACACGGTCCTCGCACGGGCCTGGCAAAGGAATGGGAACATTTTCTTGGTTTCTAACGAGAAACGTTTTCCGCCTCGTTGAGGGTGGTCCAAAAACTTTGTGAAGCAGCAGATGATCTCGATGCTAATAGGCTGAGCCAGGTCTGACGTCTTGTACCACGTCACGCCCAAGATTAACGCTGACTGGTTGATTTTTTTTTGTTAAACCACGATTGTTGTTCGTATTTTCATTCCAGGAACTGCTACCGAGCGTACGTGCCACACGTTAAGTTAACAGCTAAACTAACCAATGAAGAGCACCGACAGCGTGGGCGCTATTCTCGGAAGAACATTGCCAAAGGAAGACTAGCTCAACGGGACAGGTGGGCTGCTAAACGATCGCAATTGACGCCCGAAGACACGACCAGAAGCAACAACATTGAATGAGACACGCACGATGATGAAGACCCTACGCACTACAGTCAGGACCATTCACTAAGTGTGTGACGCTTGGCCTAGCTGTCTTGAGGTGCAATGGTGTTTCGTGAATAGGGTTTCGTGTTTTAGGAGTTTATTTTTCGTCGAACGCGTAACGCGTTTTTCCGAGTTTATGTTTTGCCGAAAATTTTGAGTTTGTTGGAGTTTATTTTTATTCAATTCCCTCAAATTCGAAATTTAGTTTTACAATGTTTCATAATAAAAAAAACTAAAAAAACTGAGTGTAAACATCTGCTTAACTCAAAAGAATGTGCTTGTATAAAAATATTTCTTTAGCTAGATTTGGCACTGGCACACTTGCCATAGGCAATACTAATTTGTCACAAGACAAAATTTGCAAACAACTGTTGCTTCAATAAACTTTGACACCTTTAAATCACTAACCTCCTGGAGGCAGTCACTGAGAAGTTTGGTTTTGATCCCATCCTATTTTATCACCCACCCCGCACCTGCACGGGGTGGAGTGGTAAATAAACTGCAACAACAACCCCACACCTTTTCCCCGGTCAATAAAATCTCTATGATTCATAGCTTTCACTGTTACAAAAGCACAACTCGTCCTTCCTTTAAAAAGCGCAAATGGTGTTCCAAATTGGAAATCAAAACAGTGGTTTTTATCCTGACCTCGAAGTACGACCACCCCTTTTGTCAGTCATACGAGATTTGAAAGGAAACTGGGTTGAAATTTTTCTAGGCCTATTGACCTTATGCACTGACTAAACTTAATTCTATATAGCCATCTTTTTTATGTTTTTTGCATTGCGACATTGAAATTTGGAGTTTACCGAATAAATCCGAACTGACGAAAATTTTGCAAGCGAGTGTTTTCCCGAGTGTTTTAAATTATCCGAAAACATGGAATCCTATTTATAAACTATACTAAATGTAACCTCCACAAAGGAAAAAAAAACTGCACTAGTGATTTCATTAGTTACAGAGCCAACGGGTCAAGCAATTTCCCAGCTCGACACGTTTTATATACTGGATCTCGAGAGTCTTGCGCAGTGTTGCGGAAGATGCGAGCACTAATCTACCGAAATGCCCAAGGTGTGCCAGTTCTCGTCCAACAAAAACAAAGAGACACAGGCACTTGCATGCGACGAGCCTCGCTCAATGGTGCAAATCACTTTCGAGAATGTGAGCAAGGTGATGCCCGACTCACGATTCGAAAGAGTCAGCACCTACCATAGTGTATCGCGGGTTAAGAAGAGCAGGACAAGCTCGTCCCACAAAGCCCTCCAGTCTTCACACTCTAGCACAGTGGATGCCGAAGAGAAGACGAGGAGGAAGCCATCAATCGTAAGATGTGGAGAGCTTTGTGGGGGTGGGGCTTGTCCCGCTTTAATCAACCTGCAACTGACCATAACACGAGAGGGCGAGGGCAAAGAAAGCCAAAAAAAATATGACCGCATCTCCACGTGGTGAATGATGTTGATTGGGGCGAAGCTCTGGTGGTGCTGACTGCTGATGATACTGATTTTGTTCATAGGTAGTGCTGATGCAAAGTTTAACGCGATTATATACGCATTTGACCGCAGCGCCCTCTCCTGTATAGACGTTGAGTGGCTACATGCAACGTTTCATCCATGACATCCCCAGCTCTTGAGTTACTACCACCATCTCAAAGCCCCCTACCCGTTCCGCAGTCGTGGTCAAGTGGTTAAGGCGATGGACTAGAAATTCATTGGGGTCTCCCTGCACAGGTTCGAATCCTGTCGACTGCGCAAACATTTTTTCTTTTTTTAAGAAGACAGATGGGATGGCAATCGATGTGAGCACGGATGCCGGATGGACAAGGCTAGACCCTAAGGAGTTTCGCCCCTAAAATCTGCGGCGGAAATGGCGGCGACTCACGGATGCAGTGTCGGTGGTTGTTGACGCCGGGCACGCAGGCGCCTCCGTGGCCGCAGTCGCGGTTTGTCTCACACAGGCCGTCGTGCGGGGGCGGGGCGAAGGTGGTGGGAGACGCCCCTCCTCCCGGAGGCTCCGGCACCGCACCCCCTCCGGGGGGTCCCACGGGACCCACGGGGGGAGCGGGCACGTCTCCGCCGCCTCCAGGAATCACGCCGCCCGGACCCTGCGGCGCTGGGGAGACAAACACAAAGCTCTCAAGGAAACACAAAACTGGCTCGCCTCTCTCTTCGTCACTGTGTCATTTGGGAGACACAGAAATTTCAAGTAAGAACTTTGGTTCGTCTCTTCGAGACTGTCTGTGTGAGGAGAATGTCCATATATCGTTGGGCTTCCCTAAACGAACCCACATTACACTTTTTTCTTAAGGGACGGGCGAAGCGTTTCGGAAGCTGCCCTAGCATCTTGTAAAACTATGGGCGCGAGAAAACTCCCTGGTTGTCAGCGGCAGACTTTCAGTAGGGTGTGGCATTCAGATGTTGAGGCACAAGTGACCTAGGTCACGGGAAATACACACCTTCTCAGCCAAATCGTCGCTATTAAGATACGTTAGTGAGTGATCTTAGGAGCACTTACTGCAGGCAAACAGGGGATTTCCGGTCATTCCTTGAGGACAGATGCACCTGAAGCTGCCAAATGTGTTGATGCAGCTAGCGTCAGTGCCGCAAACACTGCCACTTCCCAGGCATTCATTGATGTCTGAAAGAAACACAAAAAGAAAAGAACAACGAGAAACAGTTGCTTTCGTAAATCTACGAGGGAAGTAAAATATTTGATTACCAAAATGCCGTTGTAAAGGAAGTCACACAACTTCCAGCTCTATCGAAACTAATTTTATATTGCATCATCCACCAATGTACCTAGAATGGACTGATCTCAATCAGTAAGATTGAAAGATAATTAAAATGGAAATGACAACTTAAATTGACTACCCAATTAATCAATTAATTAATTGCCTGTTCTCTTACTACATGGTGCAAAAGCCTACATGAAATTGTGTGTGGGAGTCACGACACAAGAATATTGTATACAAGAGTGATCAGATGCCTGTCTCAGTAAATCCGCAAACACTACAAAGGACACATACATTACACCTACCACAACAGTTCTAGGCCATAAAACGACTGTAAGCAGAATGACTCTGCATGTGAAGAATAAACCTGGTAACTAGAGTCAGATTAAAGTAGTGACTATAACCAACAGAATCTTTCATGAGCTCCATTGTGGGCATAGATACTTTGTGGCTTCTCAGCCCACCTTTAGAATCTGATGCTTATGATTTCAATACATACAAAGTGATGAACCTGTTCAATGAGAACATTTTAAACCTACCATTGCAATGAGTGAAGGGATTTCCCTGAAGACCAGCTGGACATCGGCAGTCCAGCCTGTCTCCGGTTCCAAGGCACTGCGCGTTGGTGCCACAACTTGAGGCCGAGCAGTGCGCCTGCTCTTGGGCTGCAAATACAAGGTAGTACGGATGCTTTAGCACAGGGGTTCTCAAACTTTTTGGTCTCACGGGACCCCAAGAAGCCTCAAAAACTGCCGCGGAACCCTCTCCCCCCCCCCTCTATATTTGCCGACCAAGAAGCAACAGATGCACAATTGTAGGCAATTTTGCTTGTGTTGCTTCCCATATATCCCCACCATATCAATCACGATGTCAGTACAAAGTGAGGTGAAGGCGCTTTGCATGGTCCTTTCGCGCAGCCTGCGGCGTGGGGGGGGGGGTTGCAATTTGGGTGTTCGCAGAGCCCATGAGACCAGCTCGTGGAACCTTTGTGTTCCCTGGAACCCAGTTTGAGAACACCTGCTTGAGCATCTATTCCAACAGCAGGCATATATGTATGCTACTCAGGGTAAGGGTGGTCCTACTATTATGTTAAAAGCACAACAATATTTTCATCCTTCCAGTTGATCGAACCAAGCTCTCCCTTGTTGGCTACAAGGGTTCAATCATTATTTCTTGACACATTAAATACCAATTATATTGACTTTAACATTGCCATATTTCTCTTGCCCAAATCATAATGCTAAAAACCTACATATGAAGTGTTTTCACCGAAATTAAGCAGTTACATTTTTTTCTTTTTTTTTTGTAGTAATACTACTACAAAAAAAAGTACATCGAAGTACATCGAGAACAGAAATGCAAGAGCATTTATGACAAGTGAGTGAGCTATCAATAAAAGACTTTGCAGGTCCTTGACAAATGTGCACTGCTTTGAAACAGAGACAACATTGGCACAAAGATTTAAGGATGTTGCAATACTCACTGCAAGCCGAGTATGGGTTTCCATAGAGGCCAGGATTGCAGACACACTTGTTGGGAACGGAATACGTGCAGTGAGCACCGGTACCGCAGCCCGGAATACAAACTGGCGGAAGGACGGCTGCAAAGGTTGAGGCGAGAGATAGACAAGTCAGTCACTTCGAAGCTTAGAATGGCTTTAATGGTTTAGATGGACCAAAGGGTTCTGAACCAAACTCACGTGGAACACACATAACTTCGGAGTTTCCGAGAAAGTAAGGCAGGCAGACGCAGCTCCCAGTCTGCTGATCGCAGCGTGCACCGACTCCACACCGCACGTTCTCACATTTGTCTGGGTGGGGTAAGAGGAAATCAGAGACTGTTACACAAAAAGCGACAGACTGTACGGCAAATTAAAAACAAGTTCTCAAGTGTTGCTGGGTTCGAGCATCTGATAAATGAAGTATGTCAGAGTAAGGCACAAACCTATGCAGAAGCCGTCAGAACATTCTTGCCCCTTAGGACAAGGCCTCGAGTCGGAGCACCGCAAGTCTGCGCATGAAGAACGAAGGGGAAAAAAGTAAGAACACTGTTTGGGAGGCAGTCAACCATAATACTATGCGTAATGAAAAAATATTTAGACTTCGAAAAGTTTTAGCGAGAAGGCGGGATTTTTTCGCTACAACACACCTGGAGCACACTCTCCTCCCTCCCAGGGGTTTCCTCGAAACCCTTCGAAGCACTTGCAGACGCCTTCATTGTACGAGTTGACGATGCAGTGTGCGTTGACGCCGCACCAGACCTTGGTACAAGCTGGCAAAGCATTACAGGAAACATTGCAATCAGTCTATGCTCTACAAGTTGCAAAATGTAGATGCTATTTCTAGCTGAAAACATTGGTACAGTGACTTGCCTTCAACATAAACTGAGCTCCAAGGATAAATCGACAGCACTGCGATTGAGGATATCTCCAAAAAATGTTTCTAATAATACATATAAAATATTCTTTAGTAATATTAATGCTAAGGGTGCAGTATTCTGCTGATACTAAGGATCTGGTTACTGCAGTGCGGCACTATATACAACCATTCATGTTTGTCAAACGCATCCACTAAAACCTCGGTCACGGGAATCGCGCAAGAGAGCTCCAAGAGCCCAAGAGAAGAAAACTCACGCGAACGGCACCCCGCTTCGAGATCATACGGGTCACCCTCGTACCCGGGTCGACAGGCACAGGTTGGTTTGTGGTCCTGAGGCGTGCAGTAGGCGTTTGGCCCACACTCGGATGTGACGCAAGGATCTGCAAGAAACAAGCGTAAAACCGAACTGAAACACTTCTGGCTCCGACAGATCTGAATCTGGTTACAGAGACCCTAGTCTCCTTACCGAAACAGGTTCCACCCTTTGCTTCGCACACGGCATTCCGAGGACACTGCTCGTCCATCCTGCAGCCCACCGAACCTTGGCCTATAAAACGAAACGACCAGACGCACCATCGAGCAAGTGTTGCAAGTTTGCACGGAACGAATTAACAGTGCTAAGAGAGGTGCAGGTTGTAATGTTACTACAGTGCCTGGAACCTGTCTTTGACCGGTGCGTTTACCTTCTCATCCTGCCCATACATCGAAAGTGGTCCCAAAGGGGCAACAGATGACGTCGCAGAAGCCGGCGCGTTGTGTTGTCGGACACGGTGATCCTGACGGTTGGTGCTACTAGAACTCCCGGCAAAAAAGTAAGGAATGCGAGCGTCGCCGACAAAAAGATTGCAAATATGGAGTCCCAACTCCTGATTGTTGAAGCTTTCATCAACTGTCAAGCTAGCATGGAGGTAGGAAGCTTCTGGAGGCGACATAACGCCACCAGAGGTGAAGCCAGAAGGGGGGGGTACACGCCCCCAATGATGACAAAAACCGTGGTTTTGGCGAAGTCACACTTCTGGCTTCGCCTCTGGTGGCATCGTGTCGCCTCCAGAAGCTTCCTACCACTATGCGAGCAAGAAAGCGATCCACAGCAAAACTGGCATCTGCCACCGCTGCTGCAACACCGCCAGGACCACGGCCGGCGACAACGCCACGCTTCTACGACGTTCTGTCACGGAAATCGAGAGACCACCTTTTTGGGACACGGTAAACACACCGGCGGGAGACACGTTCCAGGCGCCGCGGTGTCACGCAGTGCACTGCCCCAACTCACATCCTGTGGTGAAGGGATCTCCGGTTGTCGCAGGAGGGCATTCGCACTGAAAGCCTCCAACGACGTTGATGCAAATTGCGCCCACGCCGCAAGGTCCGTTGGGGTCGATGGGCAGGTTGGACGTGCACTCGTTGACATCTGCACCACGGAAACATGCGTGCGCACGAAATCTCGTCAAGTAATCGAAAGTTTTAATCGAGACGCATCAACAGATGTTTGTCTAAAAGGCCTAAATTTTTAAGAAAAAAAAACAAAGAAATTAAGAATAAATTAGTCTATTGATAACAACACTGCCGCTGGCTCACAGGTGAGACTGCTCCTTTTTATAATTTAGATGATTTTCTTTCATTCTCAAATAATCGGCGCGCGAGTTAGTCAATCAAGATTTACTATAGCTGTTGACAGGATCAGAACGTCAGGGCATGTCTTTCGAATGCTGCACCTTCAGCACGCGCGCTCGTTCCCCCAAGCCGCATTTTGAGTGCGCGCTCAAGGCTCACGAGATGCCCGATAGTTATTGAAGTTAGAAAGCTTGCGCTGGAGACGGGGCAACTGAAAGAACTCCTTGCCATTCTCGCCCTGTAAGCAACTACCATAATCCGGTAAAGGGTTGTAGGCATTGAATATCTGGCAGCACTACTGTAATGCAGCTTCCTTTCATACACGCTGAATGTGCTACGGAGAAAGGCCCCGGGCGGAACCAATGCTAGGCCTTACCCCAACAGCCCGTCTGCGGATTTCCCGTGCACCCAGGATTGCACTGGCACTGCGGACCCGACGGGGTGATGGCACACGTGGCATACTGGCCACACTGGATCCAGGCGCAAGGGTCTGGAACAGAAAACACGAGGTATTCGAGAGAGGCCCTTTGCCCAATGACCCAGCAGATTGTTCTCTAAGCTGGTAGGGCATGTGCATCACTTGGCACTTCTTACGCAGCAAGCGAGACACTTTAATAGTTTTTATGCAGCAACCGAGACACTTTCATACTACAAATGACGTAGCAGATGAACGGGGAACTCTTCACCTGATATTCAAAAGCAAAGGGTCATAATTAACGTTTGACACTTCATTATTGCGTCCTTTGTAGTTAAGCTGGTAGCTCAACTAGTTTAAGTTTCGTTCATACCAGAATTAGGACCGAGGAACAGTTTCGAACGTGCAACCCACCTTTGCACGTCTCTCCTTCGAGGATGTAAGGAGGCTGGCACTGGCACTGTCCTTGAGCACACTTTTCGTTGGTGGGGCAGTCTGAGTCTCCACGACACCGAATTCCTGGAAAAAAGAAAGCAGGCAAATTTGAAGGGTGCTTTCCGTTTTTTTATGTTTATATTTCCAGAAAGCTTGCTCATTTGCCTGATAACAAAGAAATAGGAGAGTGTGAATAGTGGATTCTGAGTTCAAAGTGAATTCGAAGCGAATGATGGTTTTTGGTTAAATAAGTGCAAAACGAATATTGAAAATACAAACTTGGGAGCGTGTTAGTTTTTGGACAAAAACCACAGAATACTGAGGCATTTCCCAAGCTTTCACTATAAAACAAAAACCCAGCTGAACTCATGAAGGTTGTTCTCAAGCTATGTTAGTTTTATTCTAACTATATTTATGAGCTATGACCTCACAAAGTCCAATGCTTACATTGGGATGGCAGGTAAATGATGTATTTGACATAAAGCAAACCTATAGAGATGCCCAGCTATATCTCATCAATGGGGATTTACAAATCTTCATGTTATATGCACATACCTTTCTTCAATCTCGAAGTTTAAAAAAAGAAGGACAATCACAAGATATAAATGCAGACTGCCTAATCTCTGCCTAACATACTCTCACATAACTGCCACAGTTTAATTTTAAAAATTTTACTCCAATGCAGGTAGATGTCTACATTCAGAAAGTTTGTTTCTTTTTAAGTACACCAGGCACACCTGTGCACCATCCCACTTTGAAAGATGCTTTTCTCCTAAGTATGCGACTGTGATATTTGTATTTTTCGAAGTGTTGATTCCGTTAAACTCGCTTCTTACCGAGCACCGGTGCACTGCGGAAAAGCAACACCTGTGGAAGTGCGCTCTGTGGGTGTTGCTTCCCCGCAGTACACTGGTGCTAACTAAGAAGCGCACTCAACAGGGTCAAATTGCTGCGATCAACACTTCGAAAAATACAAATTTCGAAGTTGATCTTGAAGCAAATTTTGAATAGTGTATTGCTAGAAGCTGCTATTCGAAAGTTTCAATATTTGCGCAGAAGGAACCAATACATGTTCTGGAAATCCCTACCAAAAATGTAAATTATTTGAAATGTTACATTTGGGTAATGATTACAGCAAATTGAAGCAACAATTATACCAAACTGGGTAAGCAATAAAGAAGTAATTCAGATCCATCCAAAAGAAGAGTGGTAAGCGTTTTCCAAAGACTGAGTAACTAACTGCAAATGGTTCCATTGCAAACAAAGTGCAGTGCTCGGCCAACTAAGCTAACGTGAGGATGCATGGGCAAGGGCAAATTTTTGTAATATGAAGGAAGCCACACTAACATTATATTCTTGATTCCAGACAACTTTGCTCAAAGACAATGAAAAATTGGCTTTTGTAGTAGAAAGCACTTTTTGTTTCACATTCAAAGGTAACCTCTGATCAAAGCTTACGGTACGTAGCATAGCAATCCACTCACGAATAGGGGAACATCCCTGACGAGGGTTTCCCGTGTAACCAGGGGCGCACAGGCACTGGTAGGCCCCCTTCAAGTCGCGACACTCAGAGTTTGCTCCACACGGTGACCATTCGCTGATCTCTTCGCATTCGTTGATGTCTGCAAGAGTGTAACACAACAGTTAGAGTATCCTCTTCCTGCCTTACCGTTATTTGTCCGGTCTATAAGTAGCAGCATCGTATAAATCACGCTTATATATCTGTACGGCAGGCGCGGCGAAACTGTATAGATGAGCCCACATATATTGTGATCGCTGTATATGCGCAAGTGAGAACAAGTTTCAATATTCATGCAAACGAATTGAACAAAAAGAACAGCCTCCACGGCAGATTTGTGCATACTTACTTTTTTTCTTTTAAAAGCATATACTAAGTCACATTGTTCTATAAAACAAACCGACGGAAATTTAGTGAAAAAAAAATGCAGTAGGTAGGTCAATTCAATGTTATGTCATCACATGAACACCGTGACGGCAGTCATGTGACATCCTGGCATCATAAAAGAGAGCGAGAGAGACAAAATCGCTCACTTCGACAGAAGCCAGTCGCTTCGAGCGTAAATCCCTTGGGACAGATGCAGAAGCCGTAGCCCGGACCCGTGAAGATGCATTCTTGATTTTCTGGGCACGGATTTGTTGTAGAGCAGTTCCGACTGACCACTGGAGGAGATGAGACATTTCAGTATTATTAGGTACTGTTGCATTAAAACCCTTAGGTACCAAATATTTTTTGGATGAATTCGTAGTATTGACATTGAATTTGCAACCCAGAACCTTATTGCTGTCGACAGTAGGCTCGTCTGATTTACCTACACCTCCTGCACCAGATACTTTTTGGTGCACACTACTGTATTCTGTTTACGCTCTAGCAAACATACACAGTGTGACGGTAAAGATAAATTCATAGCTGATTCGACAACAAACGGAAGGAAAACATGGGAGTAAGAAAAGGACAAAGATTGACAATGAGAAGGATAGTGCCGCATGTGAGATGACCTGGGCCAGCGTACTCAAAACAACTAATTTAAATTTTAAGTTGTAGCATTTTAGCAGAGTGGTCAACTGATTTGGCAGTGCTTTCCCACAAACCGTCTTAAATGGGTCGCTATTCCAAGCAAGTTGGGCCAGAGCTGAGGTTGAGGGCAATACTGGTCCAGTCAAGACTGAGGGTTGTTTCATCATTGATTTTCTACTCTACCGGGTGATTCAAGGAGACGGCAGGCTCTTTAAATCGACCGGAAAATTTGTTTTTCTAACCTATCGCGCTACGACTTTGTGCAGCGTTGCCCACAGATGGTGCATTTTTTTTGTAAAATTTGCGAAGAGCAAACTTACCTGAGGAAAAGTAAAGAAAGAAAAAGGCTTAGCTCCTATGGAAACGCAGCGGCGCCACCGGTCTTCAAACAACACGGCGCCGTTTCGCACGGGACACAAGAGATGGCGCAACGAATGCCGCCAACGAACGAGCATACGGCGCCGAGAGCCAGCGTCTTTAGCAGACAATCTTTTCGACTCAAAAGCGGAGTGCGTTCCGCGGGCGGCGACAGTCGCAGAAACAAGAACAGGCGCAATAACAACAAGGAACTGCAGTTCCTTGTCTGCTAAATACGCCGGCTCTCGGCATCGTCTGCTCGTTCGTTGGCGGCAGTTGGCGTCGCGACCGCTTGCGCCATCTCTTGTCTCCTGTGCGAAACGGCACCGTGTTGTTTGCAGACCGGTGGCACCGCTGTGTTTCCATAGGAGCTAAGCCTTTTTCTTTCTTTATTTTTTCCTCAGGTAAGTTCGCTCTTTGCAAATTTTACAAAAACAAATGCACCATTTGTGGGCAACGCTGCACAAAGTCATAGCGCGATAGGTTAAGAAACCGAATTTTCCAGTCGATTTAAAGAGCCTGCCGTCTCCTTGAATCACCCGGTATATTTCAGGACTTGTCTGGGTAGGTCTAGCGAGTATGCTGCCATACTGAATCGTGCGCTATTCTTTTCTAATTCAGTTTCATTCAGTCTTTCGCCTATGACAGCCGACCCCTTCTTGACTGTGAGAGGTATTTATACATGCTTCTGCGACTTTTTTACTATTCGTTTTTTCTATAATCTATTACGAACTGTGAACTTGTGCTTAAATCTTGAACGGGCCTTGGTGTATTTTTGGTTTTCCTGCCCTTCCTGCTTGGACCATTCATTGGACTGCAGCAGGTAACAAATATATAGAGTAGGGGTAGGCGAAAAAGGCGTGGGGACTTACGGACGCAGTACTCTCCCTCGCGCACGAAGGGGTGCTTGCAGCCGCAGACGCCCTTCTGGTAACGGTCCTTGAGGCACACCGTGTTGCCGGGGCACTGTTGGTCCCGCTGGCACTCGATCTCTTCCGGGTAGCAGACGATGTAGGGGTCGCCCACGTGCCCGTGGGGGCACTGGCACAGGTAGCTGCCCTCCAGGTTCATGCAGAATGCACTCAAGCCACACGGCGAGCTGCTCTTGTACTCAGAGCACTCGTTGATGTCTGTCCGAGGGAAACGCACGGCAGGCAGAACGGTGTTTAGTGCGGGGCACGGTTTCCAGCCAAACGTTCCTCAAAACATCTTGAGTTAAAAGTAATTCTAAAAATACAAAAATCTTTACTATACTCAATATGTTCTCTCTTTCTCTCTCTCTCTCTATACACCTTTCCAAAAAACGCTCCTAGGCCGCCGCCATGTTGCTGATGCTGATGCGGCTGGTGCGACTCTCGCGCCCTCTATCAGCTAGAAAATTTCTGCCACTCTCTGGGACTGTGAAGACCCGCTCAGCACGGTTCTCTACGTACGTTTTTGCGGTTTTGCATTCGACGTTTTCTCGCCTCTCTTGAAAGTTTCCACTTATTTTTTTTATGCGTGCTGCGTACCCTTTTTGTGTTGTCTTCCATTGTGAGAAATAAGGCTGGTAAGTGCCTGCCATTCAAGCTTTTCTGCTCGACATTCACGGGAAAGGTGAAGGACGTCGAACGGCCCTCGACGCGATTTTGCGAACATTGTTCTCCCCCCTCCCAGAGATAATCCCCGTAGAATCCTCAGTTATCTCTAAAAATAGTTGTCCGGGTTGGGGTGAGAAATGGGTCAGTCGCGTTTGTTTCTTTGCCTTGGTGCGGTTGTGAAAAAAGGAAGCTCTCCCCGAAACGTGCCCCAAAACGAAGTCATCTCGGATTCCGTGCGATCGTCAAGATATGACTGTCATCGACTGTGACTGTGTTATTTGAGATCGTTCTCAAATAAATTCGTTTCGGATAACGCTGCATCGTGTGGTACGTACGATATATTGTTCGATTGTAAACACGTTATTTGTGAGTGTGAAAAATGCATGCCTTTCGGCCCTCTTCCGTTGCAATTTATTTTTGACAGCAAAACGCTTTGTCGTTTCACATTCGGCGAATCCCGCTGCGTCGTCAAAACTTATCTTAAGAAAAAAAATTAACTAGAACTATACATTCTAGTCGCATTCGTTCTGTCGCGCGCATACCCAACAAAATAGTTAACATTTTTGTTTTTGTTGCTTTTTTTGTTTTTTCAAATGTGGTACAATGCTTTCTCAATGTCCTCGGGAAAATACATGTACCATGAGACACAAAATATAGCGGGAAAAGGCGATAATTTAGCCGCCAGCAGCGTTTGAAAATGCGCCTACGCAAGCTGCGCCTATTGAAATCACAGTCCACTCGGTTAGGGTTAGGAGGGACGCCGGTGAGAGTCTAGCCTCAAACTCAGTGACTGGACTCGAAAACGGTTGGTTGCCCCTGGGGTCGAGTGTTTTTTGGAAAGGTGTATATATATATATATATATGTATTACCTGAATGCCATAGCAGTGTTACAAAACTTACCATGGCTTTACTTTAAAAAGAGGCTTGTAATAGGCTTGTAATTCTGGTAGAGGTACCTGAGGCATTAATTCTATACTGGAAACAATGATAAAAGTTGATCAAATTTTAGCTTCATGAAATAATTTTTATGAGCAAAAATTTTGTTATCTGGACTAAAGTTGGCCATGACTCCTACATATTAACTAGAGAAAAATATATATGTATGCATGCAATGGAATTTCCACCATTGATATTGATTCACAAATTTTGTAAAATGAAATTATCATAAGATATAAATAATGCAACATAACAAAAAAAAAATTAAGTGCCAGGCATAAGTGAATCTGGACACCTATTGAATATAAAAAAAAAATATATATATATATATATATTTAAGGTTATTTTAATATTGTGTATGTGAGGTGAAGCTGCAGTTGAAAATGATGCCAGTTTGGATAAATTAAACATTTGAAACAATATTCTAAACTTTGTGACGAGACAGTATCCCTGATTGACATACATTTGCTTTTTTTTTATTTACCCAATGAACAGGATAGAAATGGGTGCATAGTACCATTCATTTCTACTCTGAAGCAAAATTTCACTTTCTGAGAAGCAGCCTGTTCATAAAACACTAAAGGCCTTGTATATGATTTGGTTATACAGCTGGAACATTGACAACAGTAAGGATAGCTTGTAGGCACAAAAAACTTAAAGTAATGGCCGTTTGGTCACAAGCTCCTTTTTCTTTTGTAACCTTCTGCTAATATATTAGCTTTGGAAATATCTCAAATTTCCACAATACTGGTGAAAGAAATCCTTCTACTTTTTTCTCTTCAATGAAGAGATTCTTGCAGAAAAAGAACCTCCATGTACATAAAAAAAAAAAAAAAGAAAGCCGATTAATTTTGTTTTTTTTTTTAAATAAAAAGGTAGGAAAAAAAACAACAGATGAGGACTTTTTTCAAGTTTACGGTCATTGAATATCCACTGCATAGGGAAGTGGTTACCTCTGCATCGAGCGATCGAGGTGTCGTATGTGAATCCCCGCTTGCAGACACACTGACTGCGTCCGTCCACAGAGATGCACTCCTCGTGTGGTGGGCACGGCCTTGCAGACGAGCAGCCGTGGATGACTTGTTGTTCTGGGGGATGGGTAGCAGGAACAGTTCTCAGCACCATATAAATGCTCTCTTATGCATGATCAAGTCTTCAGTATAATAAAAAAGCAGTTGGCTATTTTCGTTGAACTTGATGCGCTGTGCACACCTCTACTTCAACAAAATCCAGAATACTCAAAATTTCTCTACACTCAAAAGACTCTTCTTTTTGCAGATTACAGTGGACAGAAACATCAGCTCCTTAGTCTGTAGTGTACATTTCCATGCATGCAAGTGCTACGAGACAGCAATGAGTTAAAAGGCAGATGCTGCAACAGAAGATCCCCTTGAGAGCCTTTCACCATGTGCTCGTTCACCCGATGTTCAAGAGATAACCCAATAATATGACTCGCTGGCTCACCTTTGGCGAGGCATCCTCTGTAGGGATCCCCTTCGAAGCCATGAGGACACACGCACTCGAACTTGCCAGGCAAGTTTCGGCAGAGGGCTCCGTGTCCACAAGGCTGGTTGGCCGAGCACTCGTCAATGTCTGCAACCAGATGGTGGGCCAGCGCTCCGTAAATGAATTCACTGACTATGCAAATTCACGGGGGGTCAAAAAGAAAATTTGGAAAAGATTGATTTCATAGACCATTCTTCATATGGCCACAGGAAGTGGCAATCACCATGTATGTTCCTTTTCTAGTCAAGATAAATCGAAAACTGTAGACAGATGGTGCATGCAGGAGTACATACCCTTCAAAAATTTTCATTCCTATGCACCCTTCTTCGTACCATGGACCCTGGCGTTCGCTAGTTATTAAAATTTATTACCTGACATTATTAAAACTAGTGGTTCTATATGCAATGTTCGCAGTAGTAATCTAAAAAGCTGCATATTTTATTTGCTCCAACTTTTTCAGCCCCACGCATTAATGCAAATTTCTTACATAGACTACTTTTAGGTACCAGTGTCCATCTAAGCCACACAAAATCTAGGAAATATTTATTCAATACTGGGGACACTCGTGCAGTAGACAATTCCTGCTAGGAATGAAGCCATTCACACTAAAATGAAAGGAACATAACTGCAGATAAAATATAAAGCATCAGTTCAAACATTCTCAAAAGAAACTATTCCATGACAACAGCTTCCAGAATAGTGATTTCAGGGTCGCCAGGAGGTCAACAGGGCACCCACCAACACAACCAGGTAGACTGTTGCTCTGGCCCGTAAATCCGTGGGAGCAGACACAGATGGGCTGTCCAGTGTGATCAAGCTGGCACTTGGCCTGGGCACCACAGAATATGTCTTCGCACGGATCTGCGCAAGCAAGGAAGAGAAAAGGTGCACTCCGTGACCTGCACTATCACCGTCGTGAAACTGCGAAATCGAAGTCAAGAACGTACGCCTGCAATCGTTTCCGAAGTTGGGCGTCGGACAGTAGCACTGGTGGTTTCTGCAGACGGCGTGGCCGGGGCACGCATCGTCCTTGTCGCACTGGACGACTTGAACACCTAGGGAAGATGGATGGATGTTAATGGCTAAACCCTTTGTAATGGGCAGTAGCTTGTGCCACCTAGCCTACGTCTAAAGAGACAATGCCTGGGGAGGATGGATAATGGTACAATGTATTCCACATCCCCTCTGCTGCAGATGAACAATCCTTCCCAAATACCTCCACACACTGTTGCTGGTGACAGGATTCCCAAGTACTACCTTCTGAAGCATCGGACATTGTTTAAAGAGGCAACAAGACAGTAGATTGGCACAAAAAGTTTTCTATGTTCCATCTCATCTATACGAACAGGTGCAATCTATACCAGGGCCGTAACCAGGGGGGGGGGGGGTTAGGGGGTTCTGACTCCCCCCCCCGAAATTTTTGTCTGGGTACGGCCCTGGTCGGTGCACTTGCAGCCAGCCGATTTTAATCTCCACCTCTGCGCACGCGCAGTGGCGCCGGTCGGCTACCGGGTACCAAACCGGGACCGGTTCTCCGGTTTGCTGTAACTCTCCATTATATGCCACCGATGCACATGATTCATAAGCGAAAATAAGACAATAGACACTTTCAAAATGGCCGCCGTTGTCCTCAAAACCCCCCCCCCCCCCCCCCCCCGAAATTTTTTTCTGGGTACGGCCCTGACGACCACGAGTGTGTGTAGGTCGCTTTGGATTAACCGTTCATACAGCCTAGATGCATTATAAAAGCAAGGAGCTCACACTCATAGGTGTGTGTGATCCACTTTGAGGTGAGACCTAGTGGAAAGTAAATTCATGTATTCGCCCCAAACCAAAGCGTATGTCTCAGTTGTAACAGTCAGAAACGAACTCACGACTAAAGTCACATCTCACACGGCCGAATGAGAGTGCTTCTGCCGTGTTTCCTCACCACCAAGGTGCATAACTGTCCATGAATATTCCGTAAGTTATGTGTCTCATAAAGATATAGGCCATCAACTACGTTAGGCTGGTAAAAGTGGTCCCAGGTGAAGATCAGTCCACATGCAGCTAGCTGCATTATGGAACTGGTTAGCTACACCCAGCTGGAAGATTTCGACCGCTAGCTGCAGAACGTGAACCGATTTTTATCTGGGATTCAATCTTCCTGTGGGCCAGAAACAGAGGAGCGGACATGCGGTATGTTTGAGCTCGCACAAAAACATGCGTTTGAACGTAACTAGAGGAAAGCAGCCCCGAAAAATCCGGCATTGCTCGACTTACATCGAACCGTGGGGTCTCCCGACGTGCCGGTGGGGCACCTGCAGTGGTAACTCCCCGGAGTGTTGGTGCACACGGCGGAGATGCCGCACTTTCCGTTGGGGCCGAATGTCTGCGCACACTCGTTGATATCTGGACAAATTGGAACCACATGAGAGCAGCATGGACAAGCTTTAGCACGCAGGTCAAACACAGCACCTTCTGAAATGATATTGTATCGCGTTGCTGGGTCAGCGCGTTGCCAGAGAACAACTACGGGAAAAAAACTGTTCGAGAGATAAGGGTGATGCTTAAATTCAGAAGAATACCTGTTCGAGGGTCATTCGAAGGTAAGCCGTTTCCCGCTCTGACTACTCCGAGTTCGCGCGGTGGATGGTTGTTTATTTTGCTGTTTCGAAAGCGAGGAAGTGGCGGAAGCGAAGAAGAAGCACGTTCTGGTTACCGTTATATTTTGTAGATGGCGCTAGTTGTCCACAGACCGTGTTAATATAGCTGCTTTCCGCGGTTTTCGATTGAAGAAAGAAACGCACGTTCCAATGGTAAAGAGTAACTTGGACAGACAAAACTTGTTGTCTCATTTACGCAAAGGTAAAAATATAGAAAAAAAAAACTGTAAGCGTTGCTGTTTTTTTTTTTTGTTTTTTTTTTTTGTTTTTTTGTAGTGAAACAAAATCGTATTTGAAAGCGAAAGCGCGAAAGTACAGGCGCTGTACTTTCGATTTAGGCCATTTTCGAAAATGTCTGAATGCATAAAAATGTAAAATACAACGAGATTTTTTTTTTATGCTATTAAGTATTTTGTTAAATCTCCAGTGATCTTGGCTGAACAAATTTACAATTTTTTCGTTTCACTAAGGAGGTACGCGTAGCGCACACGCGGCCGTGTGCTCGAGGGGCGCTATAAATAGTTTGAAACTTTTTCCTTTTTCAAACACCACCAAATACAAAAAAAAAAAAAAAATAAAATAAAAAAAAAAAAAAAAAAAATTAGCACACATTTTATACTTTACGAACGTGATGAGCTTATCCTGAACACAAGCCAAAGTTGAAGAAGCACGCCTATGCTTAGCTGAAATAAACTTTCATGGTGTGTCACAACATAATAACTCTATGGTCACAACAAAGCAAAACAAAAAGTCGCGAAAGCTTAAAAATGTGCCTCATATTATCATAGCGAACAGCGTTTCCCGAACGACGTTTTAGCAAATGACGGTTGCTTCGTCGAACAGTCGCTTCATTGAACGGTTGGGTCGTTTCATCGAAAGAGCGAACAGGCTTCTCTCTCTCTCTCTCTCTCTCTCTCTCTCTGCGAAACGCACTTGACAGGTTAAAATTACCACTACTGATGTCAGTATGCTGAAGAATGCTCGTTGCAAGCCATACAAAAATGAACTTTTTTTTTTTTTTTTTTTTTTTTTGCCGGCATTTTGTTGCATCTATCCCACGACGTTCGACCGTCATCCTAAACGAAACTGAAGCACACAAACGTCGTTCTCTCAAACAAACACCGCCATTCGCTAAAACGTCGCAAAAAAAAAAAAAAAAAAATCGTGCACAAATATTTTTTTTTTTTTTTTTTTTTTTAATTTTATGAAATTTGGTGATGGAGATGCACCCATGGAGAAAGAGCGGCAGCGTACCGTGGCACCGGACCCTTCCGTTGCCCGAGTATCCCGGTGGGCAGGAACAAGAGAAGCTGCCCAGGGTGTTGGCACAGAGCGCTCCCTGACCGCAGAGGCCGCTGGGTCCCAGCAGTCGCTCGCACTCGTTCACGTCTTCGCAGAAGCGGAACGGGTCGCCCGTGAACCCGGGCGGGCACGAGCAGCGGTAGCTGCCCGGCGTGTTGGAGCAGATGGCCCCTTGGCCGCAAAGGCCCGACGGGCCGTGGTTCACGTCGCACTCGTCCACATCTGGGAAACAGTTCAGGCTCTCGGGTTCTGGCATGTAGCTGGGCTCGGAGGTAGCGACCGCTCAAGGCAGCAGTGGCTCCTACTCATCTCCCCACAAAAATATGATGTACAGCCTTCCGGAGCCCTTCCAAGAAATTAGTTACACCCGAATTTCACGACGAAGAAACTCTGAAAATACGGAATCCTACTTTTACCTCTGCCTTAGGGACCTATTCCACTTGTTGCAATTTCACAATTAAACGTTTAAATAACTTTAGTGTTGCCGCTAGGGATTTCTTGGGAATGACAGTTGCTCGGGTGTCAGTCCAGAGCAGTGGCGTAGCAAGGGGGATTTTTGTAGTCTCATTGCATATATTGCTAGCGAAATTTCGCGATCTTACTTGAGTAGCAGTTTTCTCAAGAGATATGTTTAATTACCACGAAGGAAAAAAACAGTGTGCAGACCGGCTGACATTTCGAATGTCTCTCGTGTAACCTCTGATGCCAATAGAAAAGTTGCAGAAATAAATTTAAGTCCACCAAGCACATGTTTATCTTGGACTTAGCTACTTCAACAGTAATCGCGTACTGAGTAATGCTGAAACCGACCGCCCTTTTTCAACCAAATCACACATTCGCCTTGATTATATGTAGTCGTTTCCACGATCAGGCTTCCAGGCGTCCAGAAAGACAAAGTTTGCACGAATGGCACACTGGCCGTTGTCGTTCCTCCTTATCGAGGATTCTAATAGGATGACCGCAAGAAAAGGAGATGCGCCGCCGCCCCACTCACCGATGCAGCCGGCGCGAATGTTGGCTGGATTGAAGGTGAAGCCCACGTCGCACACACAGGCCGCCTCCTTGCCGTTGGCCTGACAGGTGGCGTGTCGACCGCACTCCACGGTGTCGCAGGGGGCTGCAGGCGGGTTGGGCCCACAGTTAGGTTCCGAACGACGTCTAAACGCAACCGCATCATTACTGCCGTTTTTTTCTTCTTTAATTGGACGAGGTTTTAGATAGTCCAGTTTAGTTGAAAAATAGGTGGAGTTGAGCAGACAACGCCTTCTACCCTTCGCTTTGTGCTACATAAATTACAATCCATCTCGGCGGAATCGAAGTGCAAACATTATCAGATTCTCAAAGGTGTACGCATCTCCCCAACGGCTCATGGCCTAAGCAAGTTACACAATAGTGTGGATGCCTGCCAGAAGGAACGCAATTATCGTTTAATAGAGTGTCAGTGGTGTGACTATTCCGACAGTGTACTTACACACGCAGGCTTCCTTGGGGTTTCCAATGAGGTGGTCCGGGCAGAAACAGCGATAGGACCCGTCGTTATTGACGCACTTGGCGTTGGTGCCGCACGGAGAAGGACCCACCACACATTCGTTGACGTCTGTGGACGCGGAAAACGAGTTTCAGAAGAATTTTAAAACTTCCGAAACCGAAATTATTTTTTTCCGTACGACGCATACTCAATGATGCCTAAAATCGGCTTCGCCTTCGCTACGCACGATCTCAACATAATCCAAATTTCATAGAGGTTTTAAGTCAACATAACAAAGTCGAGAGCTTGCTTTAGGATTATTAAAGAACGTGTTCTTCTTTCTTATGATTCTTATTAGTCTGGGTGACTTGCGAAAGTAGGCCATATTAGGCGTACGTGTTCTCAATACAACCAGCAGCCATGGAAAAAAATATATTACCCTAACAGTGCTGCGCTAGACTGTGCAGAGTCAGCACGTTTACTGCGACTTTTGTTGAAAGCAAATTCCACACGCCAACATACCTCTGCATCTGCTCTGCGGAGACGGATGGATTTTTTCGTAGCCCGGTTTGCACTGGCAGAGGAAACTGCCCTCGGTGTTGACGCAGCCGGCGTTCCGGCCACACGTGCCCCGGGAAAGACATTCGTTTCGATCTGCGCAGACGCGAAAAATCAAAACCTTCTATATAAACCTTGCTTATGTTATAAATCTGGCACCCTCTATTATGCGCTCTACATTCTTGACAATTTAGATATTATACCAAAGCCATCGGTGTAAAACATTAACAGCTAGAGTAGTGCTGATTGCTGGGCGAGTGCTGAACTTTAGAATATCTACAAGTAGAAGTGGACACCGTACCACTTAGTGCACAGTGGTGTCCAGTTCTCCTCCCCTTGTGCTTTCCTTCGAGCACTACCATGTATTCTAAAATTGACGGGGTATTTTTTTACAATTACACGAAAACAAAAGCGCCAGAGAACGGGACAAGAAATACACTTCTATTTTCGTAGCAATTAATGAACCGTTTTCTGGCTCTTATATTTTCGTAGAAATGCACCAACACCTTTCCATTGCATATCAATTATAAATGGAGAGAAGAAATTACAGAATATTCATGTGAATAAGTGTGAATGCAAAGCAACAGCGGCAAAACGGGCTTGCACCGTGCTGATGCGGATGATACTAACCCAAGTGCAAGCATTTCTGGCCAAAAAAGACGTACCGACACACTCCTTCTGGTTCGGCGACACCTGGTATCCTTTCCTGCACTGGCAGAAGTTGTTGATGCACTCCGCGTTGGCTGTACAGTCGTGGTGAGTGGTGCACTCCACCCCGACGATGTCTGCAAAGGAAAGCACAGCAGGGACTTGAAACGTATCTCACAACTCATGTGTTGACATTCAGGCCACCTTCTACCTTTCATCGGGTTTTAAAGTTCCCAGTGAAATAAGGTTCTTCCCTGAGTTCTGATATGCAATGTCCTGTCCTTTTCGTAACAGACGGATGTCACTTGAATTTATACACTAAGCATGGCTAAACAACGATAGTATAACGTAACTTACATAGGAGCTCACGCTTTTTTCTTGTAAAGTATAGACCGGGAGGATTGGACAGGCTCACATTACCTCTTTCGCAGGACTGGTAGGCGTTTCCAGTATACCCTTTGGGACACTCGCATCGGTAGCTTCCTGGACTGTTGTAACATATGCTTCCGATGGCACAAGGATTCTGTGAGCACTCGTCGACGTCTACGGAAACGGACGAAGGAAGACAACAAGGTCATCAATTAAACACTGTGGCCATGAATCTAAAGACGCTGCTCTGTACGAGTCTTGAGGAGGCACGCACCAAGACATTGAATCCTTGGGTCACCGGAGTAGCCTTCCTTGCAGCCACAGTGGTACGAACCCACGTCATTGAGACAGAGGGCGTTCAGCCCACAGGCGGTGGGTCTTGAGCACTCGTCCAGGTCTGCGGGAGTGAGGGACGTCATGTCAGACCATGGCAACAAAACACGTCTTGGGTCGACCCGGGTGTCAGCTCGCATTAAAAGCAAACGCGTTCCAAAGCTGCCCAGTACATGACTGGAAAGTATTTAGAACACAATGTAAACTTTAAGTTTATATACAGATAGTGCATAACCCTCGTATGCACGTTCGCGGGTACGCGGGTCTCTATAGTTAACATAAACAACATAAAGACGAAACGAAACACGTATAACTCGGAACCTGTATATTCTTTGTGTAAAGTTACGAATTCCGTATTGGGGGGCACCGTGCTGAATATCAAGATTCACATCGCGTGTACTTTCCTGTGTCTAAACAAACACGAACAAGTAAATATATATATGGTCAGGGATGGGCAAAATGCATGCAAATATGTATTGAAATACAAATACAAAATACTTCGTCGAAAATGTATTTAATTAGAAATCTAATTACATTTCCAAAAAGTCATTTAAGTACAAGATACAAATAGAACCAAATGTATTTGGTCTTCTCCAAATACGTTTCCAAATACATTCCTCAAAATTTGCGCCAGCGACTTCAGGGCACCTGCAACGGGTTTCTGGGTATCTCATTTTAATTTTGCATCGCACACTCGGGAGTTAGTGTGCGAGGCTCTAGTAACGTAGTAGAAATATAATCACAAAAAAATGTAATCAGCTTGGACGTAATAGGTGAAAAAAATGCAGAGCTTCAAGCAGCCTTTTTTGTCGATTATACATTTTCGTATAGAGTCAGACCAACAAAGAACCGAGACGACCAAGACGCGCAGCACTAGCTGGAGATTTTTTTATTGTTGCAACTCGCACCAGTTACGAAAATCGGGACGACCCGCACATTTAGAATGTTCCAGGCAAAAATATGGATGGAAATCAGGCTGGAAAGCATCACAAGTTGTCACAGGCGCTTATTTAGCCAGCCTGCCTGTGAACGTCGATTTCGTCACTATTCTTGCCCTGGACTAGCACCGTAATCACAAAGTCACTAAACGCTTGTGCTTGATTTAGAGACACTGCATTCGGTGCAGAACGTAGTTTTCTTCCTGCTCTGGACAGTGACAATAAATTTGAGGGATGTATTTTCGCCCACAAAATTGTATTTAATTGCAATTGTATTTGAAATACCCACGTTTTAGTATTTAAATAGACACGTCAAATACATTACCCAATTTGTAATTGAAGACAAATGCAAAATACACAAAGTATTTGAAACACGTATTTCAAATAGTTGTATTTTCAATACTGCCCATCCCTGTATATGGCGTTCTTTTTTTATTCTTGCAGATTTGTTTTAAAAAAGCCATGAAAGCTACACCTATGCGGTTTGCGCGAGTGAGTTATACGCCCAGGGGGACATTGTGTGGGTGGCGAATATTTGCGATAAGTCGGCTAATTATTTAAAATTCACTCATTAACTTTTTAATTAGTGAAAGAAAGACATGTTTCCAATTAGAAACTTGCTGAGCGTCATCCAAAACCCCTAAATCGGTCATATTCAGAAATACTTTCAGCGCGTGAGAAGCATAGTAGTGCACTAAAGTTACCACTCGTGGAGCAAGTACAAGGCTAGCGGCTTCGGTAAGGCGGCCGTGCAATTTTTCCGTCTTTTATCTAGCCCCAGCCTTGTACCTGCTCCACAAGTGGTAACTTAGCTCACTATCTAGTACACTTCACACGGGCTCAGTCTTTTTAAAAAATGACTGATTTAGGGGTTTTGGACGACGCTTAGCAAATTTCTAATTCGAACCATATGTCTATTTTCACTAATTAAAAAGTGAATTAGTGAATTTCAATTAATTATCCGACTTATTGCAAAGATTAGCCACCCACATAATGTCCCCCTGGGCGTATACCTCACTCGCACAAATCGCATAAGTGTAGCTTTCACGGCTTTTTTTAAAACAAATCTGCAAAAATAAAAATAAAAAAAAAACACCCGGTATATACTATTATTAAAACAACGTCTTTTGCGCAAAACTACACCATATTTTTATTACTATTTATATGTTCTTATTATTTAACTTTTCGTGGTACCTGTACTTTACATACCGTAAAGGTGAGGTGTATCTAGTAAACTCAAGCTAAATAAAGAGCAGAAGTCAACCTTTTTTGCCCAGTCAAATACACTAATGGTCCATATGTTTTTTTTTCATTTTGGTTTGAAAAGGTTGAACTTACATCGAGCAATTAGAAAATTTGAATCTTTATTTGTAACTTCCGATCGAAGCAAGTATTTCCTCTGCCATTTTCACGAAACAAATCCACCACATAGCCTCTTTCGTGATAAGTTACAATGTCGTAGCACGCAAATAAGATTTTTTTCTTTCGATTTATTCGAAGTGGGTTAGACCCATCCATCTGGCTAGCTACGCGGTATTTACGAAGTACGACAATCGTGTCGGATACGTTTCAAATCGTACGACACGCATACAATGGCACGAATCGCTCGCGTTTTCCCCGTCAGTCTTTCACCAATGACCCTGAAATTTGTAATAAGGCTCAAAGCTCAGCGAAGCAGCAAACGAAAACGATTCTAGCAAACTTCAAGGAACGACTCTGACAGTCAGTCGTTGTAAGAAACGTACTACGTGGCTAAAAAGAAAAAAAAAAAAAAGAAAGAAACCGTGCACGAGGAAAGTGGCGAGTCGATCGCATGCAGGCGCCGACTAACCGTGACAGCCGGCGGACAGGTGCGCTTCGCCGATGTAGCCCAGCTTGCATCGGCAGAAGTAGCTTCCTTCCGTGTTCGTGCAGTCCGTGTTGGCTCCGCAGGCATGCGGGCACTCGTTGATGTCTGCGCGGGAAAAAAATAAAAGCGACGGACTTCAAGATCAGACAGAGGAAGAATGGAAGGAATCTTCCCAGACAGCTGGACGCCACAGATGCAAAGGCTTCGATGATGTCCTTTACTTTCACGGCATTGTCTCGACGATACTCGCATTGCTATTTGGATAGGACCACGGCAACATCACCTAGGCGAGCAGAAACTGAGTGAGAGGAGGAAACGAGAGAGCGCGGGAACGTCAGAACGGTTGGGATGAATGGGCGCGAAGCCTATGTCTCCACTGCTGGAACGCGTTCGGACGGGAACGCCGGACGCAGCCGTTCTGCGTTCCAAGGCGTTCGAAGAGCGCAGTAGAGACAGCTTTGCGTTTACCCACTAATCCCACCAACCAGCGCTCGGTGTTCTGACAACAACGCGAGCACTCGTACCCCCCTTCCCGTTTCTGCTGTCCCGCAGCCAATGATGAGAAGGCCGGATATCAAATTTCCAATCAAGAGGCGTGAACGTAATAAGCAATAAGCCACGCCCCGCGTTTCTTAAGCTGTCAGTGACAGTAGATAGAAGGCTGGAGCGCTGGATTTTACACGTTACTCATTGAAGGCCGGCGCGAGGCATAACACGAGGGAGCTGTGTCAGCGTTGGGCTGGGACTCGTGTTCCGATGGCCTTCATCGGGTGACGTAGGAACTTTATCACTACACATTTCCATTTATGTTGTGTTCGTGCACGGGGGCGAGGGAGCCATTTTGTTTTATTCTAGATACGTATTCTCCGAGCGCGAAGACAGTCTAGAAACGTCATCTTGAATCGCGCGTATTCGGACTCCCGTTGGGCCAAACGGGCTCGCGTTTGGTCACTCTTAAAAGGAGCTATAGTTTACGCGGAGCTTAGCAGTCAAACAATTTCATCGATCGGAGTTTTTCTCACCTTGGCAGGCGAGTTTGGGGTTGCCGGTGAATCCCGGCGGACACTGGCAGTAGAAGCTTCCCGGGGCGTTGACGCAGGTGGCCCGCGCACCGCACGGGAAGTGAGCGTCCAGACACTCGTCGACGTCGACGCAGCCCTCGTGCTTGCGTCCCGGAAGCGTTCGGTAGCCTGACTGGCACTCGCAGTGGTAGCCGCCCGGAGTGTTGTGGCACACCGAGTTGGCGCCGCACGGGTCGTTCCGACACTCGTCCAGGTCTGCACCGACGCAAGACCGCTTGAGCTCGGAAGCGCTCTTCCAAGTGGTGCGGGATACAAAAAAATATCCAACCGAAAAGCATTTTTTGTTTGTTTGCCATCCCTATTTTTGAATTTGGAGGTTGATTAAACCAAATATATACGGAAAGTAGCGTTTAGAAACTCGGGGGCCTTTCTTTTATCCTGTGCGTCTCCTTTCCCTTAAAGCACTTGGCAGAGCCAGTTGCCACAATCTAGGGACGGAGCCTCAGCAAATGATCAGGCTAAAAAAAAAAAAAAAAAAATGTGTAGACATAAAAAAAAAAGAAAAAAGGGTAACAGTCAGGGTTGTGGCACCGAGCGTCATCCTCAGTGCCATAGCGCACTCTGTTTTCTCTTTTTTTATTATTTTTTTAATTGTCATCCGTCGAGCACCTTCCATAAAGAGCAGCAACTGGATCTTCTCCCAGTGCTCTGAGAGAAAGGAGACGGACCATTAGGGAGTTTTCGTAGACCGCGCTACCCCCTACGCTAAGCGTTCCGCAACGAAGAAGTCGCTACTGCGCCTGCGCGCCGATAGCCTTGACTGTGGAGTTCCCGCTATCGTAGCGGATTGCGGAGGGCCTTGCGGGACGGCGAAAACGATCTACGAAAACTCCCTATTTTCTAATAAGAGTGTTTGCGGTTGCGGTTTACGTTATCTGCAAATGAAACGAGCCTCCCTCTGGTGTACCGATAACACAAGAGTTTGTTTCGACAATTCGCGAAAACGACCCATTGGGTGGGGCACGACCGCAATTCGCTACAATCTTGTTCGATGAACCGGATTCGGGTGAGAAGTAGAGAAGCGAATACCGAGCAGAGTCCACGAAGGTTCGTCGCGAAGGTATGTCGCGTAAACAGATAGAAAGTGCGTAACCATGGCCACGTGTTCGTTCGTTGCACGAGTCGCTTGTTTTTCTCGTAGAAATCATTGCCTTTCGCTAACGTGGCGAAACATGTTGCGCTGTTTCCTAGCACTTCTTTCTTCCTCTTCTCTTTTCATACTTCGCACTCTCAGATAAGGAATGGGCCACATATATAAGCAGGTAGATTAGTGAAATAAGCGTATGTATGAACCAAAGATGGTGGCTGCGCATTTAGTCGCCGGAGGGACTATATGTCCAAACTGCGGCTCGCGAACCCCATGCGGCTCTCCCGGGTTCACGGTGTCCGGTTTCCAAGTGCGGCTCACGACTTCCCGATAAGCATGCCCAGGTTAAAAAAAGAAAAAAAAAAAAAAAAAAAAAAGAAAAGGGGGGGGGGGGGGGAACAAGTATAAAATAAAACAGCTTGCGTATTGGCAGCCGGTGCCAGCATGCCTATAGGGCGTTTTCACGTGACCTCAGTCCGCTATTTTGTTGTTGGATGTCCCGCGATGAAACGTATAGGCCCTGATGCTCTGCGTATTTGATGATGCCCGAGGAATATTTCTAACGCTCGCCTTTCGCACGCGCCAGGCAGCTTTTAACAACAAAATGGTGGACAAAATTTCGTCCGTGAATACACCATATACTGCCGTGAGGCACTCTTTTCAACAATGAAGGAGGCAAAATCGGAACAGCATGCGACCCTGACGTACAGCTTACAAGAACCTAAATGGGCTGCTCAGGACCGCAACGACGTATATTCGAACTTCATGGTGCGTGTTCCACGAATGGGGACGCACAATAAAGTTACTTAACGAGCAGTCGCTTTATGAGCGAAATTCGCTGTGGCCGCCGTTTGAGGAGAAAGAAAAGAAGAAGAAACAGTTACACTAGCTTGATCATGCTGATGAAGACCGGGGAGCACACAATCCCTGTTTTTGAATGAGCTGTACAGATGCTAGGTGTGTGTGAGACGTCACCTGACGTCATGAGGTCACGTGACTGGGACGTCGGACGACGTCATGGTGTGACTCGGCGTCACGGTCACACGACTTCATGACGTTACGCGACGGGTCCTCGTGACAATTCGTCGTAACGATACTTCATGGCAGCCACCTCGTAGAACTTGACTAATAAAAAAATTTCGTGTTAAAAAAAAAACAACATAAAACTCTCACATATTCCTTTTTTACTGCAGCTCTTCAATTAAAATGATGTTCTTTTTTTATGGATATGTGTTTATGTTTGGTGACCCCTGGTATAGACGTATCATGTGATAGATAAAAGAACGACAGCAACACAGCTGAGGTCCCGAGGAACGACTCAAAGCGTCAGTGAGGCGGCACATAAAAGTAACTTGCCATCTTTTTTTTTCTTTTTTTTTTTTTAATAGACGGCGGTAATTTTTTGTTTTCACTGTCTGCGCACGGAGACGCAATTTGCTGTCTTGTCTTGGCATGGGCAATTGACCAATTAACTTTCCGACGAATCGATTCACGCTTTAATTTCGATTAACTTTTTAACCAGTTAGTCGATTCGGTTCCGAGTTCGGAAATTTCTAAGAGAAATAAAAAGTGCCTGCTTTACTACTTCGGGCGCCTTCATCCATTTTAGCAGTAAGCAGTGTTGTATTCTACGGTACTGCACTTTAGCATTATTTATGATATAGTCATCCAGAATGAAATAAAAATTCCTATAAGAACGTAAATATGTGAAATGTTTAAAAATGTACGCCGGTTTTTTTTTATCGTTTTCTTTGAGGGCGAGGGAGAGAGCACGGTGTCAAATTTCGAACGAGGATGTAATATGAACCGTCATTAGTTATTATACCTAAATATCGAAGCAACCGATTAGACGATTAAAGTAAATAGTGATTAATCGGGCTAAGTCTTGCCCCCTACATACGCCCAACCCTCGTCTCGTTTGTGTTCACATGGACCCACTCACCGTGGCACTCTGCCGTGGGGTCCCCCGTGTACCCGGCAGGGCAGAAGCAGGAGTAGCTGCCCGGCGTGTTCTGGCACTCGGCGTTGACTCCACACGCGTGGGGATCCTGGCACTCGTCCACATCTGGAGAAGAGAATGTAGCGTCCGACACGAGCCACTTCCCTAGTACACGAATGCATGCGAAAGCAGACACCTGTCCGTCAGCAACCGTAACCTCCCCATTTTTGGTCGCCATTTTAAATTTCCATCGAGCTGGTAGGGGTACCAAATGCACACGCATGATCCCATAATTATCGCAAGTTTCCTCGTGCGCGTTAAAATAGGGTGAGTGTATGTTTGCGAGAGCAGACAAGAGCACACTTTTATTCTAACTCGCTTTCGTCGAAACCAGGTGACCATATGTTCGTTTCATTCAAACTAGTCTGCCTGTTGACAATTAAATGGCCGCTAGAGCTGAATTCGCTTCCACGATGTTTTTGTAACGTGCGATCCAAACTGTTGAGATACTTATTCCGGACGATAAGCGTCAAGTCGCTCTGAGCATGCGCTGTGAACAACGAGTATTCAGAAGATTAAGACAACCTCCTGTTCGTTCGATTACCTCAATAACTCAATCATATACTCTTTGTTGTGGACTTTATTTTTGAAGTGCAGGCCCTACGCCGCATCGCAAGCTGTGCGAGTTGGTGTACATGATGAACACGGTACAAAACAGCGCCCAAGAAAACAAGGGCTTGTTTCCTTGCGCGCTGGTTTTCACCATGCACGTTCAGCTTCCTAAACAAATCCAAAAGCAAAAAAAAAAAAAAAAAAAAAAATATATATATATATATATATATTTTTTTTTTTTAAAGTCATATTGAGCAATTTGTATTCACTCCTTTTTAAAGGGATCAAACAGGCCTGGGGCGGTTAGATAATACATGTGCAGCTCGCGGTGCGTGCGGCCGTAAGACGTGCTATAGGTTGGCCCGACACTGAAGCTCGGTAATCTTCTTGTTCTACTTCGGCGGGGGGAAAGTGTCGTCTCTCGTATACACTCTCGGCGAACGTTCCGCTCGCGGCGAAGCCTAATTATGAATGGAGACGAGCCAGCCGCCGTTGGCCGCTCATCCTACAACATCGCGCGGCAGCGGCGGCGGTGAGATCCTTTGACAACCGCGTCCCTGCCACGATGGCCCCGATACCCCACTAAAGGATGCGCGTGCATGCCTTCTTGATGCCTACCGACAAAGGGACGAACCCTTTCGGCATTACCGCGGTACCGTCATTATTATTCCGTCGACGCGAGCGAAGAAACAAGTCTGGAGATGTAGAAGACGTGTCAGAAACTCGATGTATACTCCGCGTGGTTTCGAACCTTTGGCACGACGACGATGCCGGAGATCCGAAACTAATCCGAGTCCACGAGTGCAACCGCCATCGGGATTGTTTCTTTCGGCACGACCTGCTGACCGCGTGTCGGACTCGCAGAGGAAATTTGGCAAGATCTGTCCGGTAAACCATAACCGCGTAGCCTCCTCTATGCCATAACCATTGCAGAAGAAGCCGATGGGGGGGCGACCGCGTTTTTTTATTCGTCACGGTGAGGAGAACAGCTCTGCCCTTCAAAAACTCGAGGCCTCTCTCGAGACGGTGCCGCCCCCCGGTCAAGAGCGCTGCTAGTGCGAACCAGACAAAATCATCAGAGAGAAAGTGAGATGTCAGTGGGAAGCGGCGTCAATGAAAGAAGGAGGAGGGCCATCCGCGGACATTCCCGAGAAAACGAAAGTGGTCTTCTCCCCCTCCATATATCTTCCCGTAGGCGGTGACTTAAAAATAATAACGATAAAAAAAAAAAAAAAAAGAAATATCGGTGGATCCGCCACCCACATTAAATATTGACCTACAAGTTCGCACTCGAAAGAAAAGAAGAAGAAAAAAAGTAGATGTACAAAATGTATACGTCCCTGCCGCCTTTTATAGTTTGCCACTCGCTCGAAGCATTCCGGGGACGGCGTTTCCAAGAAGAAATAAGCAGGAGACGGCGTGTTTCTTCGACGCCTATATCCGGCGTATCCGCCTCTGCCGACAGATACAGACATCGCCTCCTCGTGGCGTGGACGAAAAGGAGGAGGCGGTGCACACCCCGCGTGGAGTTCTGTCGAAACTTGGTCCCGCAGGACCTCAAACTCGACGGGCGTATCCGATCCTCTTTTTCTTCTTACGCAATTACGCGATTTCGACCTCGTATTTTGTTGCTCTTGTTGTTCCTGTAATGGTGGTAAGGTTCACGCCCTCTATACCTCATCGTTCTCACTTTCACCTGTTTGCGGCGGAAGCGGTGGGGGTTGGCGCTACTTTCGCTGTTCGATCGCCTGCGCGCGGTACCTTATTCGATGGACCGCAAAGGGAGCTAGGAACCACCAAAGCCGATACTGCGTGGGCGTCACGTGACCTATTGGCGCGTAGTCATGCGCGATAGCTTCACACCGCTGGATTGGCACGGGATGGCTGATAGCGTCCGCTGTGGTCCATTGTAAGGTAACACGGAGTCGTGTACAACAGCTATAATTCGGCTCACCGATCCGGTAGTGCCTCCATGAGGGAAGGTCGTCCCACTAATCTCGCGTGCACCATCATTACCTTGGCGCGGCTACAAATTGAGGCTCATTTCGACACACTCCGGGTGCGAGCGTGCGTAGAATTAAGATAAATAAAATGACGGAAATAGTAAAAAAAAAAAAAAAAATGGCTGCAGCCGGATTGATTGGAAGAGAGTCGGCTTTGGGCGTCAAAGGCTTCGCACAATCTCGCCTCTGTACCAATATCTGCGGTTTGATTTACTTTTATGATTTTTGCTCCAAGTAAGTAGTGACCGGTACTGTATCTAAGGAGGATTCTAGTCTTCGATGGTGAAGATAGTTAAAGTGAACCGAGTGATTCGGTGATACCACCGGGAAGTCATCCCGAATAACATTGATCAAGGCGTGCCTATATATAACTCCTTCCTTTATTTTCTGCTAAAAAAAGCACCTAAAAAATTTTACGTCGTCACGTATAGAAGAGTATACCATACGGTCGCGTATTCCGAGTGTGAATATATTTGGAACGAAAACTATCGTCTGGTTATTTGCGATGCGCTCCTTGAAATGCGATTGGTTGTTGCCCTTGTGTTGCTGTAGATCGATGCTTGCTCTAATTTTGTCGACACTTCTGCGATCATAAGGTGGGTGCGCGGTCGGATGTGCCTGACTCGTGTTCAAAGAAACGCCGGTTTTATTAGGTGATACTGATTACGGTCTGTCGCATTCATATGGAGGGGAACCACAGGAGACGCTTCGACTCCGCATTCCCCGAAAGAGATGGCGTCACTACGCAGCACTCAGTACGGACGTAATTTGTTTTTTTGATACCACGAAAAGTACGGAGCATATGTCAGTAGATTGGCACCGACCCCCCCCCCCCCCCCCCCCCCCCCCACACACACACACACAATATCAAAATGCCCAATGAGCATGGGAGCATTGGACATTCCGCTGAGGGACTGTTTCTTGTAGTTCGTGGCGGAACCTCACCGGCGGCTCTTATGTTACAACAGGTCATAAAGTCATTTACACAACGACGTGGCTGGGGTACTTATGGCGGCTGTCATTACTGAGAAAGGTTGTGATCTGACAGGTTTCCCAGCGATAATGAACTCATCAGGGCAGGTCATGCACTATATTTCTAGTTATCAGCGTCTACACACCATTCCGAACGGAAACTCCTCCTGGCAGCCGATATATATATATATATATATATATACAGTGTAATCCACTTATAACGATACCAGATATAACGATATATCGCTTATAGCGATCAAATTTTTTAGATTTGATCGCTATTTTTTTAGATTTGATTTGATCCAGATATAACGATAATCGGCTGCCAGGAGGAGTTTGCGGTTTTCTCAATATCGTTATAAGTGGACTGCCCAACCCTGATATATATCAGGGTTGGGCAGTATTTGAAATACGTATTTCAAATACAAGTATTTGAAATACGTATTTCAAATACTTTGTGTATTTTGCATTTGTATTTAATTACAAATTGGGTAATGTATTTGACGTGTGTATTTAAATACTAAATCATGGGTATTTCAAATACAATTGTAATGAAATACGATTTTGTGGGCGAGAATACATCCCTCAAATTTATTGTCACGACTTATTTTGCTCATCCTAAGACGTGTCCAGAGCAGGAAGAAAACTACGTTCTGCACCGGATTGCAGTGCGTCTCAATCAAGCACAAGAGTTTAGTGACTGTGATTACGGTGCTAGTCCAGGGCAAGAATAGTGACGAAATCGACGTTCACAGGCAGACTGGCTAAATAAGTGCCTGTGACAACTTGTGATGCTTTCCAGCCTGACTTCCATCCATATTTTTGCCTGGAACATTCTAAATGCGGGGGTCGTCCAGATTTTCGGAACTGCTAGTTGCAACAATAAAAAAATGCTCTAGCTAGTGCTGCGCGTCTTGGTCGTTTCGGTTGTTCGTTGGTCTATACCAAAATGTAATCGACAAAAAAAAAAAAAAAAAAAAAAGCTGCTTGAAGCTTTGTACGTTTTTCACCTATTACATACAAGCTGATTACGGTTTTTTGTGATTATATTTCTATTACGTTACTAGAGCCTCGCACACTAACTCCCGAGTGTGCGATGCAAAATTAAAATGAGATACCCAGAAACCCGTTGCAGGTGCCCTGAAGTCAGTGACGCAAAATTTGAGGAATGTATTTGGAAAAGTATTTGGAGAAGACCAAATGCATTTGGTTCTATTTGTATCTTGTACTTAAATGATTTTTTGAAAATCTAATTAGATTTGTAATTAATTACATTTTTGACGAAGTATTTTGTATTTGTATTTCGATACATATTTGCATGTATTTTGCCCATCCCTGATATATATATATATATATATAATGTTGGGGCGTGTTGTGCGTGCTTTCCTCGCTGGACAAAGCGGTAGTCCCGCGACGCTGCTATGTTCGCACAAAATGGCTGTTACTTTTTGTAAACATCGGAATGGTTTATATGGGGGTCGCAACTGCAATAGCCGCACAGTTCTGGTGGCAGGTGATCATTCGACTACTTTGATTGGCCACACATTTCGTTTCCTGCCTGGAAAGCTTAACGTATAGCGGGGAAGAGTAAATACTCCGTACCAACGGAAATTTCCTAATAGGAGGAGGAGGGAGCAGAAAAGGAGGACTCACCGTTGCAGGCGACCGTGGCGTTCCCCGTGAAGCCCTGTTTGCACTTGCAGACATAGTGTCCGGGCAGGTTGCAGCACTCGGCGTTCTCCACGCATAGCGCAGCCAGGGCGGGAATCTCGCACTCGTTGATGTCTGCCAACAGAACAGCAACAGCACACATGGGCAACGGGAGCAACAGAAAGCGCGCAACCAAACTTCCGATCTTTTGTTGGCCAACAAAGCAAAATCAGCTTCTTGGCGACCCTGAGTTATATATTCTTCCGCAGTACAGCCTGTTTACAGACATGCGTTTTTGTGGCCAGTTGATGTCGCTCGAGTGTGAAGAAGGTTATACTAGACGGTGTATTTAACATATCTACCAACAACGTTTGTATTTATACCACGGTTGGAGGCACTTACTTAAGTAGTTCTTGAACTTTTATCATATACGGAGATTAGAACTGCAAGTGGAGCATTGAACGGACGAGAGCTCAAATCTGCAGGACGTCTAAAAATATAGATATGGATAAACATAGAACTCACTATGTTGCCAAAAGGAGGGCGGCGAACCAGAGCACTGCTGTCGACTTACTCGCGTCTAGAGAATCGGTGCTAAATTGATTTTCCCATCCCTCAAGTATAATGGTAACGTCTTTCACGGAACAACATATACGACCTGGAACGAGCACATAGCTGGGCCGCACGTAAAGTACACCTCTCGTAATCCTATATTTTTTCTTTTGCTCTAAATTGATGTTTTGTTTGGAAGGGGCCATATATGCTTAAGACATCACCTCGAAATTCATACATCCATTTGCGTAGATGCTGCCTGGCTTGACATCGCTTACAAAACAATCAAACACTCAGACAAACAAAAAAAAAAAAAAAAAGAATCACGGCTTGGATTGACAGCATAATCACGTTGGAGCAAGGTGCGTCCCACGTAATTGTTTCTGGTTCAGTCTGTCTCCGCACGGAGGACGTCTACCGTACACGCAGTCCAGCGACAGAATGTCATTTCTGACTTGATGTCCGCAGTCTCGCGTCCTTTAATCACCACGCGGCGCAGCTCCCAGAAGTCCCCTCGTCCATTAATCTCCTTCTGCGCAATGCAGGGTGGGCGGCCGAAGGAAGCGGTCCTGCACAGGACACGCTCATGCACGCTGCGGTGCATGGTTCATCGCGGCCGTTCGGCGAACAAGACATGCTGAATCCTCCGGACATTGACTTCTCGTCGGTTCCGCTATTCGGTTTCGCTTAATTCCGAGAACAAGAAACAAAAGCTTGTCTCGAGTTACATTCCCGCCGTGTTTCCTCGACTGTTCCCCGCGTAAGTTTTTGTTGTTGGGTTCTTTCCTTCGTTTCTTCGTCCAGCCCGCCTCGGCAAGCAGCCAGGCGAGACGAGGCATGCCACACACAGTAGAGAGAAATTTCGTATTACTGCAAGGTCTTCTCTTAGTCGAAAACAAAAACAAAACTTTTTGTTTTGTTTAGCTTTTGCTCGAGTGCGTGTTTGAGTTTAAAGTTTCTTTCCGATGTTGAATGTAGCCTATCTTTTCCGCCGACGATACGGACGTGAACGCGTTCTCCAGTGCGATAACGGTGCCTGCGGGACGGGCCACGGACACGGGCGCGCAGCCACTGCTGGAGAGGACGTGGCGCCGGAAACGACGTATTATATCCTAGTACTACGGCTGCGTCACGCATGTGTTTATGTATGCCTACGTGACTCGGGTTGAAATAAAGAGTTGCGTCGCCGGAGCGGCGTAGCGCCAAACAAAAAGTATAAAGTTTTTTTTTTTTTTTAGATTTAACAGATTTGTTAGAGAAAAAAAAGAGTCGTGAAAGCTACACTTATGCGGTTAGTGCAGGTGAGTTATACGGCCAGGGGGACATAGTATAGGGGGCTAATCGTAACGACCAATCGGCTAATGAAGTGAAATTTGTTAATTAACATTTTGATTCGTGAAAACAGACGCATGGTTCCAATTGGAAACTTGCTGAGCGTCGCTGAAAACCAGTAAATCAATATTTTTTTCAGAAATTCTCCGAGCGCTCGGGGGGGGGGGGGGGGGGGGGGGGGGGGGATAGTAGTGCGCTACGTATACCGCTCGTGCAACAGGTGCAAGGCTGGGGTTATGATAAGGGACGGAAAAATCGGGCGGGCGCCTTATCGCACCGGTGGCCTTGCTCCTGCTACAGGAGTGGCAACTTTAGTGCACTATTGCGCTTCTCACGCGCTCAAATTCTTAATGAAAATTACTGGTATCGTGGTTTCCGATGACACTCAGCGACTTTCCAATTGGAACCATATGTTTATTTTTCCTAATTAAAAAAAAGTTAATTAACAAATTTTGTCAATTAGCCGCGAGGTCGTTACGATTAGTCCCTTATACTATGTCCCCCTGGTGGATGGCCGCTCAGTGGTGCCTATATTGGACATCTCAAAACAGAACTTGTTGGCCGATTCTCAAATTTATTTCGTCACAATCTTGAGATTGTTGTCACCGAGTTACGTTGGCTACACTGAGCAGCCGCGCTTGGCCTCGGCCTCGGGGATAATCTCCCATAAATAATTTACCGAAAAGCAAATTGTCCGCGACACCTAGGCGTGAAACGTACCCGCTGCCAAAGAGCATCGCTCCAAAGCGTGTCTACAACGTCTCTGTTTATCTCCTTCGCAAAAAACTCGTACGCGGAAGCTTCGCCGCACATAAAACCGTAACAAATTGAAGGACACCTCTCGCTGGGTCAGAGATTAGCCTTAACACAGAGGGAGAGAGAAAGCAAAAAGAAAGATGAGCTTAAAAATTGCGTTTAAATGAAAGTCAATAGATCGCAACGACGTGCGTAGCTTCCCTAAAGCATGTAACGAACTTTTGGCCTCGCGATTAATAAGCCTCGAGAAGCCATTCCGAGCGGCGGTCCGGTAAAGACCCCCAAGACAAGCGGACGCACCGGCGGTAGACGTCGCAAGAGAGGGAACGAGATAAGCCGGACAACAATGTCGGAAGCCAGCGGAACATCAAAAAAGAAGGCGGCGCGCGCGGGGCGCCCTTGAAGCAAAGAAGCGAAAATTAAACATTGTTCTCGCAGCGAGTGGACCGTGGCGGGCGGCACAGCGCAGCGGAGCTGCATTAGCGGCACGCAACGCTTGCGTGCAGTTAGGCTTAACCCGAACTCTCCAGCGACGCGGGAGCAGCGGGCGCACGATGATTAAGCACCGTAATGCAGAGCCGAGCGGGGCAGCATGTCCGTTGCCGTTGTTGGCCCCGGACGACCTGAGTCATTACGGTGCCACGCCGATTTTCATTAGGCCCGAGTCCAGGCGCACCGGCTGATGCGACTCCGCAAGGACCTGCCTGACCAAGAGGGACGGCCACCGGGTACACAGCAGCGAGAGCGGCAGAGGTGAATGAACGCGAGCGCGGCATAATTCTCTCGACGCCGGGGAGAGGGCATACACTATGCGTGTTTGGAAGACGACGACGACGTGCAGGCGACCGAGAGAACGCTATTTCCTGCTCGCCGCCACCAAGCACCACAGGAGCTGCTCCTCCGCCAGGGCCAAGGACACCCTAGTCCCACGAAGGGCTCCTTGAGAAATATTGTCTCCGGTGTTTGTTATTGTAGTTGGTGTTGATGGTCGGTGTGTTGTTCTTTCTGCCTGCAGCCTTCCAGGGCAGCGGGGACGGAACACATTTGGCAACCGCTTTGTAACGGATTACGCGGCTTGGGGCTCCCGGAAGGAAGATGCTCGCCTCGAGTCGGCCTACTCTGGATGGACTTCCTTGGCGCGCTGGCCTCTGCTCTCTCGGGCGCGTGCGAGAGCGAACTTTCGGGGGCCGCGTGTTCGACGGACCGTGGACGTAACGGAACGCGAGTGTACAGCGTCACCGTGCTCCTGCCCACTAAAGGAAACAAATGAAAGAAGAAGGTGCAGCGGCTCACGGAGAGAGCCGGGCTTGGCTTGGGCTGCCAGCAGGTTCAACGGAAAATTGCTCGCGTGCTCGCTTGACCCGCTCCGCGAGCCAAGGTCCTTGCACTCTGCCGCCGGATTTGGTGGCGGTAAGTCGTTCGCCGTTTCCCTCCTCGTCTGGCAACGGAGGGGCAAAGGGTCTAAATGGCACCTGGGCACAAACTGGGTGTTCACGGTCACCTTCGCCCGGCTGGCTAAAATGAAATAATACGACGCGTCGAAAAAAAAAAAAAAAAAAGAAACGCAAAGAATGATAAAAAACGGGGAGAAAAAAGAAATGAACTCAAATCTGGTCACCCTCGGATGATCACGGACGCTGTGTGCAGGGCCATTTTTGTGCTCTCTTAACGTCAAGGGCGTTCGTGTGTATACGACAATAACGGGCCGCATGCGCGCTCTCGGGTCGAATGCGTGGCGGTGGGATGTAGCGATGTGTGCGTTGTATTATATGTTCCCTTAGGTACGGGACGCAACTTCCTGGTGAGGGGGTGCTTCTTTTGTTACTCGGTTCATTTAATACGCGAGGGAGAGCGATCGCGGAGGTCTGCCCGGCTTCCTGTTCGTGGGAATCCCGAGTCGATGCGTGGAGGAGTGCCGCTGATCTGTCTTCTGGGACAGACTCGGGCAATTTCGGAAATTAGGGAAGGATCGAAGAGCGTTAACCTCGTGGATTCTTTATCTAGCGGTCACTCGTAACAAACAGGCATCGCATTAGTCAACATCTAACGTGTTGGTTAATGTAACCAAAACTCAATATATGCAGATTTTCAACAACAAAAAAATCTAAATTTTAATTACGAGGTTGATGGCGTCAGGCTAGAAAAAGCTGACCTGACGGCTATAAATATCTGGGCATCTCTAGTGATTTAAAATGGAACCGTCAGGTGGAGTATCGGGAAGCGAGCAACGAACAAATTGCGGTATTTAGGAGAACGCCTGGTTGCGCTCCTAGCATATAAAGCTGTTATTATACCCATCCTAGAATACCCGTCCGAAGCTTGGGATCCCTGGACAACCTTGTGCAAGAGCCTGATGATGTCCTATCACTAACGGCGCAAATGTTTTTTTTCTATTATTATTCAGATTTGAGACAATTAACGTAATTTGCAACCCCTAATCAATAGAGGGTCATGCAAGCGCGTTAAGTTCTTTCAGATATACCATAAACTCCTAA